TCGTGACTCACTGTGTGACTCCGAGTGAGTCACTTAGCTGCCTGCTTCAAGTTGTAGGAATAGTGTATGAGACATAGACAGAAAGCCCTAAATGGGGTATAAACTTGGTTTTGAGTCCTGGCTCCAGCAGGTCAGCTGTGTGACCTTCGGCAAAATACATAACCTCTCTGTGCAGGTTCCTCATCTGTGAGATGGGAATAAAATAGCTGCCTTGAATCAGTCGAGCTTCTTGGTTGCAAACAATAGAACCTACCCAGTAGCTTCCTAAAGGGCTATGGGGAAGCTCTCACAGGTTCAAAGGGAAGGTGGAAAGCCCAAAACCAAGGTGACCAGGACACAAGGAAAAAAAGTCCTCCGGAAATTATCACCGACACTGCCAACCCTGGACCCCAGGGCCGCAGACCCTGCCGGCCTTCCTTGAAGACACAGACTCCTAGGCAGGTGCCTCTGATTGGTGAAGTTCAGGGGCTGGGACTGTAAGTAGAAGAGGCCGGCCCCAGCATCACACGGTGGGGAGCTTGCCGAGTGAGGTGGAGACAGCTGTCCACCACATCGCGTGCCACGGGCTGTTGTGCAGATGAAGACTTAATGCAGGACTCTCTTCTACAGCTGATGGGAAACTGCCTGGTGGAATCCACTGGAGTTAACATGCTTATCCTAGGACTCTGTGGTGCCAAGTGAGTGCACGTGTCCAACCAAAAGATGTGGACAAAATGTTGATAGCACTATGCATAATCGCCAAGAATCAGGAACAACTGAATGCCCGTCTAAATGGTATGCATGAATATTTATTCATACCCTGGAATGCTGCACAGCCATGAGAAAGAGCTGACGACACCAACATGCTGCGACGTCATGAGATGTCACGGTGTCAGACATGAACAGAACGCCGGACATAAGAAGCCAGGCACAAAACAACGTAGATTGTGTGATTTCATTTTTTGCACTGCAAACATGGGCCATGTGAACGAATGGTATTAGAAGCTGGGATAGCGGGTATCCTTCTGGAAGCTAGAGACCAAAGGGAGCAGGAGCGGGGCTCCTGGGGTGCTGGGCATGTTAACTTTTGATCCGGGTGCTGGTTTCACTTGTGTGTTCCCTTTGTGAAGCTTCATTGAGTTCTTCACTTATGATTTTGTATTTTTCTCTAGGTTTGTTAAACCTCAATAAAAAATAACATGGATTTGAAAAGAAGAAGAAAAAAGAATTAATCCATGGGAAGCACTGCCTGGCCCATGGTATGAGCTGAATAAATGTTAGGTCACTGTCGTTACTGTTGTCCTTGTCACTGGTTGGTCTCTCCCACCCCTCAACTCCCCTCCCTGTCCTCTCAGACTGGAAGAGACCCACATGTCTACAACCCTCGGTAGACAGAGCTGGTACCACCATCCAGAGACTGAGCTCATTTGTGGGGAGATGGAAAAAACCTCCAGGATTGTACATCTCAGCTCCTTCCATCACGAAATTAGCTAGCTACACACAAAGGCCAGGGGGCCAGAGAGTGTAAGAGTTTGCAGATTAAGGGCTCTTGAGCAGCTAGAGTAGGTGTGGAGACATCGAGGCCAGGGAGGTGACCAGAGCTGGGGCCTTGCAAGGCTATCCTGAGGACAGCAGGAAGCCAGCAAGCGACTGTGTGTATTGGTTGTGCATAGACAGGGTGATGATGCGTCCCGTTTTGCACCCTGGCTTTAGTGCAGAGAATGGAGGAAAAGGGAGGGAAAATATCCCAGGAGGCCTTCAGTGGCGGCCCAGACCAGGTCAAGGTGGGACCATAGAGCTAGACATGGAGGTTGCGTGGGACGTCATGGGATTAGAGCTGACAAGGCTTGCAGCTCGTCCTGTGGCATGGGGGGAGGTGATGACCAGGGCCCTGGGCAGCCATGGGGATAATGGGACCCTGTCTTGTCGGGCACCGTGGGAGAAGCAGGATTGGGGGTGGTAGGTAAGTTAAGTTTGGGAAGCAGAGCAAGAAGAGATGAAATGCAGTGGGCAAAGTCTGTGGAGGGCGGGTCACGGAAGGGAAGGGGAGCCATGTGCTCAGAGAATGATTAGGAGAGTGGGGGCCATGGAAGGAGGGTTTCTGGGGCTCAGTGGGGAGGGTGCACAGAGTGGGTTGTGGCCAAGGATAACAGCGATGTGGGGCCTGGTGGACTTAGCTAATCTCTACATTTGCAAAACTGTGAACTGGGTACTGGTGAATGGGAGGACCCTGTCCATGGGGAGAAGAGAGCCCAGCGCAGGGTGGTGGTGCCTGGGACAGCAGCTGGACCACATGTGAGGAGCATTTGCATGATCTCCATCTCGTAGAGGGGTTAATCCGAAACAGTGGTAATAATAGGGGAAGCATCGCTCTTCACCATCTTTCCTTCTTCTCGGCTACCGGCGCTATGAAGGTCAAGCTGTGCAGTTTCAGTGGGTACAAGATTTATCCCGGACATGGCAGGCGCTACGCCAGGACCGACGGGAAGGTTTTCCAGTTTCTTAACGCAAAATGCGAATCCGCATTCCTTTCCAAGAGGAATCCTCGGCAGATAAACTGGACTGTCCTCTACAGAAGAAAGCACAAGAAGGGACAGTCGGAAGAAATTCAAAAGAAAAGAACCCGCCGTGCAGTTAAATTCCAGAGGGCCATCACTGGTGCATCTCTTGCTGATATAATGGCCAAGAGGAATCAGAAACCTGAAGTTAGGAAGGCACAACGAGAACAGGCCATCAGGGCTGCCAAGGAAGCAAAAAAGGCTAAGCAAGCATCTAAAAAGACAGCCATGGCTGCTGCTAAGGCTCCCACGAAGGCAGCACCTAAGCAAAAGATTGTGAAGCCTGTGAAGGTTTCTGCACCCCGAGTTAGCGGAAAACGCTAAGTTGGTGGACCAGATTTTTAAATAAAATCTGACTATAACTAGAAAAAAAAAATAGGGAAAGCATCAGTGGTAGACGTTATTACTGTTCGAAGGATCCATTGCCTCTCTGTACTCTGGGGGAACGTGACACTTCCCACAACTTCGCCATCAGGCTTGACGACCCGACCCTAAGTGAGGTGCACCACTTCTAAGAGGAAACTTTGTTACTGCAGCGTAGCAGGACCTCAGTGGACTGCCTCAGCACTTCCTGGGTTTGGGGCGCTTCCTCTGCACCAGGTCCTATGGGGTTAATCCTCACACAGCTCTGTGAGCACAGCAGCCAGACATGTGATTGCATTTATGTGCAATTTGAGAAACATAAACTCATCCATAATGACAGAGAGCAGGTCAGTGTGGCTGCCTGGCGATGGGGCGGGGAAGAGGTGGGGTGGCAGGAGGGATCACAGTGGGGCTCGAGGAGACTTTTGGGTCGCCAGGTACCTTCGGTCTCTTCATTGTGGAGAGCGCGTCACGAAAAGGTACCTGTCAGGACTTGTGGACACTGCATGTCAAGTGTATGTCAGTTTCAAGAACACTGTTCTTAAAGAACACCCAACTCGGGTGGCTCAGTTGGTTGGGCGACTGCCTTCGGCTCAGGTCATGGTCCCGGAGTCCTGGGATCGAGTCCCGCGTCGGGCTCCCGGCTCAGCGGGGAGCCTGGTTCTCCCTCTGGCCCTCTCCCTTTTCATGCTGTTTCTCTCTCTCTCTCAAATAAATAAATAAATAAAATCTTTAAAAAAAAAAAAAAAACACCCAACTCTGCTAGACTGGAATTCTAACGAAATTCTTTTTTTTTTTTTAAAGATTTTATTTATTTATTTGAGAGAGAGAGCACATGAGAGGGGGGAGGGTCAGAGGGAGAAGCAGACTCCCTGCCGAGCAGGGAGCCCGATGCGGGACTTGATCCCGGGACTCCAGGATCATGACCTGAGCCGAAGGCAGTCGCCCAACCGACTGAGCCACCCAGGCGCCCTCTAACGAAATTCTTATCCCTATCTCACAGATGAGGAAGATGGGGCTCTTCGGGATGAGAGCACTGGCTGACGGTCACACAGCTACCAAAGGGTGGATCCGGAAGGTGAGCCCCGTGTGCCCGAATCCCAAACCGTGCCTTTCAACCTTGAAGGAGTCCGCATGGCTGGCGGGGTCCGAACATGGGCTACATACGGGAACCCCAGAGCCAGCCCCTGCTTAAACATGGGGTTCCCCAAGAGTCACGCTGGGATGAGGGGAGGTGGGCAGACCCCAGGCCCCCGTTTGTGGAGCACCCACATCTCCTGGAAGAGTGGGGGGCGGCGGCGGCGGCGGGGTATTCCCTCACTTAATGCCTCACCACAGCACTGTGAGGCAGAGTGCTGTTTCTATTGGCAGATGAGGAAACTGAGGCACACAGGAGCTACCTGCCCGCTCAGCTAATCCATTCCCAAGCCAGGATACAAAGCCTGATCCTTAACAGTCACTGTCCACCCTCTGCCCCCCAAAAGTACCAGTGTTGGACACAGGTCTGGCCTCTTTCCTGAAACCTTCAGCCAGGTGCAGACCCCTCCAGAATCCTCGAGGGGGCTTCAGTGACCACCAGGCCCATGGCCTCACTTCTCCTGTGGACAGCAGGTCTTGGGGACCACATTCTGTGCAGATCCGAGTGTCAGGGAGAGGACCGACCCATCTCCAGAGAGCTAGGCCAACGATGGGGGGGGGCTCTTTCCTAAAACAGCTTGGGGCCCTTCTTGGGATCCCTGGAGCCCTAGGGGCAAGGCTGGGCAGGTGGAGACCCCAGGGCTCTGAAGAGGAGAGCTTCCAAAACGGCGCAGCCCGAGAGCCTTACAGCAGGTCAGTGGGGGCTGCGAGGGGAGAGGTCCCTGGGTTGAGAAGGGGTCAGACTGTCCAACACCTGGCGTTTCGAAGACGGGAATTCTAGAAAAGGTCTCAGGCTGCCGGAGCAAGAGGAGGAGGCCCTGGAGGAGCGAGCCGGTTGGACCAGTTCTCCCTGGGGTGAGGTGGTTGGGGCCCCAAGGGCAGGCGGGAAGGACACGTCACAACTTTTCCTCTGACCCTGGAGGCAAGGGAGGCTATGACATGGGGTGTGGCGTGAGGGGTCGGGGTGCTCTAGGTGAGCCACGGGGTGAGTGGGCAGAGGCTGGCCTGGAAGAGGCTGAGGATGGGCTGAATGGTGGCCCTCCAGAAGCTAGGTCCACATCCTAATGCCCAGAATCTTGTGAACGTGACCTTATTTGGGAAAAGAATGTTTGATAAAATTAAGTGAAAATTCTGGAGATGAGATCCTCTTGGATTACTTAGGGAAGCCCCACCTCCAATGACAAGTGTCCTTATAAGAGACACCCCAAGGAGAAGGCCATGTGATCACAGAGGCGGAGATGGGAGGGACACAGCCACAAGCCAGGGACCGCCTGGGGCCACCAGAAGCTGGAAGAGACAAGGAAGGATCCTCGCCTGGAGCCTTGGAGGGAGCATGGCCCTGCTGACACGTGCATTTCAGACATCTGGCCTCCAGACACTGAGAGAATACATTTCTATCGTTTTAAGCCACCCAGTTTGTGGTCATTTGTTACCCAAGCCCTAGGAAACCAAAACAGCGGAGGTGAGAACTGGCCTATTACAGATTCTTCTGCTGTACAGCGCAGCCCCTGGGTGGGAAAGGAGGTTCACAGACTGGCAGGGGGGCGAACGGAGGGAGAGGAGGGGAGCGGGGCGGCAGTGTGGCGGCCTCGGGCGGGCTCAGGTGGGGCGGGCACAGGAAGGCCTACAGAAGGCGATGGATGGCCAGGGCTGCGGGCAGGAGGTGGGCAGAGGCCTGGAGCTCTCAGAGGGATGGGAGAGCCAGGCTCCAGGAAGGGGATTCAGGAAAGGGCACTTTCAGGAGATGGCAGGGCCTGGGAAAGGATGTGGGAGGATGGCCAAGAAGGCAGATAGGGAAAACCCCAGAGCTGCCGATTGCCGGGGGGCAGAGGCCCGGGAAGAGGCAGGGCCAGAGCAGGGCACAAACCTTGCCAAGCTGGTCAAAGATGGACACTTGGACGGCGGGGGTCATCACTGAGGGCTTCCTGTAGGGGCCGATGGTGGTCAGCGCTATACACACTGTTTCTCATGTACTTCTCACAACAACTCCATGAGGGACTGTGCCCATTTCACAGATCCTCATCTGTGAAGGCTCCAGGGGAAGTAACCGCCCAAAGTCAGTTAACTTGCTGGTGCGCGTCAGACCCTGAGAGGAAGCCATGTGCCTGACCGCAAAGCTGGCCTCCTACGGAGCACCCTGGCCTGCCCTGGGGAGGCTCCCCGGAGTGGGGTTCTGAGGGAGCTCTAGAATGGGAGCCCACCAAGGGGTGCAGAGCTCACTCTGCCTTCCTGCCCTGCCTGCCTGTCCCTTCTCACCCGGGCTCGGGACCTCTGTCCCTCCCACTGTGCTCTGGGTCCAGTCTGTCCCTTCTGCAGTCCAGGACCCTGCTGGGCCCAGCTCCACATCAAAAGCCCTTTCCTGCTTCCTGCCTGGCCAAGGCAATTTGCTCCCAAAGCTGCTCTGTGTCCTCCTTTTTTTCAAACAATGTGTTTTTAATCAATTTTAGAATAAAACCCAAACTGAATTCTTGAAAACAACAGCAAAGAGAAATAATAATAAAAGCATCCCAGCTCCAGCAGCCGCTCGGGTTCACCCTCCCTCCCTCTCAGATAACCTACCTCCTCAAGCCTGTAGTTGCTGCTTACCAAGCCTTAATATCCCCAAACTGCCCCCTCCTCCACTGAGTCTCTCCACCTCTGGAGAGCCCATACCCCGTCCCAACAGCTCTCCCAGCCTCCCACCTGACTCTCCTCCAAGCGGGTCCCGGACTGTCCCCTAGGAATGTAAAGGGCAAATCTATCTCCAGTAGTGTCTGTTTCTCAAAATTCATCAGGGACTCAGCATCCCCTAGGGGCAGCGCCTAAAATCCTTAGCATGGCATCCAAGGCCCCAATGTCCCATCCTCACCTGCCCCAGCCTGATGCCCCACCATGCACTTGACCCTCTGCCTTTGCAGATATTGGTCCCTCTGCTCAGGACAACCGCCCTCCACCTGTCCACTAGGCTAATTCAACTCCATCCTCGAGACTCAACCCAAATAGCTCCCCCTGTTCACTGACCCTCTCCTGCCCTTCCCAGGCACAGAGCAGACCTCCTGCCACTGTCACAATAGTGTGGAACTTGGTTCCTTCATTCGCCTGGTAAGTGCCAAGTCTCATGCTAGGCACTAGGGTACAGTGGAAAACAGTACTGATCCAGCCTCTGCACCCTTGGAGTTTATGAGCCCTGCCACTGATACGTAGGTAGACCAGGAGTACCCCGGAACAGGTCCCACCTGCATCCACAGAGCCACGCTTGGCGCCCATATGCAGTGTATGCTCCTTAAACTTGTTTGTTGATTGACTGACCGACCAAACGAGTGAATGAATAACAATAACCCTTTCTCTATTCACTCTCTGGCTCCTGGGCAGGGACTGTGTTGGCCTCAGAGTTAAATCACCTGCTCACAATAGGTGTTTAGTTCTAGGACACATTGTTCCCCCAGGGGAGGGGAGTGTATAGGGTAGGGACCCTGAGGGATGAGGAAACTGAATGCTCCTGGTCTTCCAGGCTGGGGACCCTAGGAGTCTGCACCCCTCTCCTGCCTACTCCCACACTCTTTCTGAATTCAAGGGGAGATGGAGACCTTGAGGGGACTGCCCTGGTCCTCAAGGGACTCCAGCTTGGAGGAGGAGACTTGAGGGAGGGCCCTCATTGAGCTGCCCTAAGTTGTTCCCTGTCCCACCGTGACATCAGTCACTCCCCGCCAGGGCTCTGCCCAGCAGCCTCAGAGCTTGCAGCGGGGATCAGGAGCACCCAGGGGCCCCACACGGGATGGGCAGGGCCTGGCTCCTTCCATCTCCCCCTTCCCCCTGGCTTTTTTGTATCCTTTTCTTTTAAATAATGTTTTACTGTTTGGGTGGTGATTGCTACAAAAATAGTCTATGTTTGTGCTACAATTTAAAGAGTACCCAGGTATATAAGGAAACAAGGTCAGTCTCCCTGCCCTCCCTGCAGCCCCACTGCATCAAGTTGACTTCACTGAGAACACTTAGGTTAATCATTTGGCACGTGACTTTCCACTCACGACACCACCCCCAGGAGAGTTCTTATGAAGATGGAACAATAGTAAATGTGTTCCTTTAGCACATGCTTTTTTTTTTTACTTACAAATATCCACGGACATCATTCCAAGGTAAATACACAGAATTAACTCATTCTGTCTAACTGCTGTGTAATGCTTTGTGTGGATGTTTCTAATAATTTGTTTAAATGGCACGCTATGGACACTTTGGCCTTTTTATATTTTTCATATGATGAGGAATGCTTCAATAAACATCCTACTACACATCCTTACATTTTTAAAAAGATTTATTCATTTATTTTAAAGGCGGGGAGGGGCAGAGGGAGAGAATCTCAAGCAGACTCTGCACTGAGCGTGGAGCCCAAAGCAGGGTTCAATCTCACGACCCTGAGATCATGACCTGAGCTGAAACCAAGAGTTAGACGCTTAACCGACTGAGCCACCCAGGTGCCCCATCCTTATATTTTTAATAGGTCTTGCCATTGTACTTTCTCAAGCAGTCAGACCAATTCACAAGTGCTCTAAGAGCCTGTCCCCCACATCCTTGCCAACTCTAGGTGTAGTCAGTTGTCTAAACTTTTGCCAGTATCCTGGGGAAAATTTGACATCTCGTTTTGAAATTGTGTTTCGACTAGGACTAAGGTTGAACACCTTTCCATGTATCAATTGGCCTTTTTAATAGCCTTTTCTACAAGTCTTTTGAGTCTAATCCTTCATCCAGTTTTCAACTGTGGCATCTTTATTTTTAAAAATCACTTTGGTAGCAACTTTTTTAATGTTACTGATATTCTTTGTTATATGTACCTCAAGTATTATAGCCCAGTGCAATTGTCTTTTGCCATATGGAAGTTCATATATACTTAAATCATTTTTAACTTTTTATTTCAGAAATTTGAAAACATACTCAAAAGTAGTACGAACAGTATAATAAACTCCCAGTGTACCCACCTTTGAGTTCCCACAGTGATCAAGGTAAGGCTGATTTCCCCCCAGTATGAAGTTTTCCTTTTGATGTTGCTTGTAGTGGTTTTTGCAGTGCAGAGATTTTTGCTTTCACGTAGTCAAATTTCTTACTTTCCTTTTGTGACTTTTGGGCTTTGTATAATTCTTAGAAAGGTCTTTCCAGGCCATGATTATTAACAAAACAAAAACAGATTCTTCCACTACTTCCAAAACATGATTCGTTGTTTGTTTAAATGATGACATAGTATTTTTTCACACGGAGGACCATAATTTATTTAACCAGTCCCCAGTTACCGAACATTAAAGTTGCTTCTGGTTTTCCTCTATTTTAAATCCTGCTGTACTGAGCAGCCATCCCTGACTTCCCCCTGCACCTGGATTATTTCCAAGCAAACCCCAGACATCAAGTCGTTTCATCTGCAAATATAGAAAAGTTAAACAATTTTTATATTGTAAAATCTGTTAATCCTCTGGTCTTTTTGCGTTGCACTTTTACTTTTATTTTGAATAGGCAGCATATTCACATGGCTCAACATTCCAAAAGGATGCATGGAAAATCTGCTTTCTACCCTGTTCTCTATCTGCTCTGTTCCCCTCCTGGAAAACAATCAGTGTTATCAGCGTCTTGTCTATCTTTAGAGTCATTATTTACATATGTCAAAGTGAATTAGGTGCTTTTTCCTGCTTAAAATACAATTGATAATCTACTTGAACAATGATCTGTTTATTTTAATTTTTAAAACATTTATTTATTGGGTGCCTGGGTGGCTCAGTTGTTAAGCGTCTGCCGTCAGCTCAGGTCATGATCCCGGGGTCCTGGGATCGAGCCCCGCATCGGGCTCCCTGCTCAGCAGTGAGTCTGCTTCTCCCTCTCCTGCTGTGTCTCTCTCTGTCAAATAAATGAATAAAAAAATCTTTAAAAAAATTTATTACTTTTATTGCTTAACAACTTTTTATAGGTAGCACCCCAGCTCTTTTTTATAGCTACCTACATTCCTCGTTGCACGGACATACAGGGAGCTCAGTTACCCTGTCTCTGCTGGTGGACTTTTAGGTTCATTCCAGCTACAGACAATTTTGCAGTGAAAAGCCTGATGCATGCATCCTACATATCACTTCTGTGGGAGGGTATCTGTAGGATAAATGTGCAGAAGTGGAAATGCTGAGTCAAAGGGAACATGTGTTTATATGTTTGATAAATATTGCCAAATTCCTTCTATCAAGTTTAAATCCGTTTACACCACCAGCCAGCCAGGCGGGAGGGTGTATGTATGTTCTCTCCCACCCTTGCAAACCCCGTGTGTTACCAAACCTTGTTGTCTCTGCTGATCTGGTAAGTGAACAATAGTATCTTCGGAGATAAAATTTTCATTTATCCTTATAAGGGAGTTTTGAGCATCTTTTCACGTGTTTAAGATACCACTTGAATTTCCCCTTTTCCTATGAACTGTTTCTTCATATCCTTTGCCTATTTCTCCCTATTTGAGTCATTATTGGTTCATTTAAAAATGATTTGTGGGACCCCTTTTATGTATTAGAGAACTCATCCCTCTGCCTATGTTATGAGTTGCACAACCCACCCTCACCCCTGCACACCGCACTCCCAGTTTAAAATTTCTCTTTTGACTTGCCTTGTGGTAGTTTTTGCGATGCAGAAATTTTTACTTTTTTGAGGCTTTAGGTTTTGTGTAATACTTAGAAAGGATTTCCCCATTCTGGTATTTATGTTTTTTGTTTTTTGCTTTTTCATTCTCCCATGGGCTCATTCAGCAGTTACAAAACATGATTTGTTTTTCATGGTGGGATAGTATTTCATATGGGAAGACCGTTATTTATTATGGTAGCTGAACATTTAAGCTATTTCTGATTTTCCTGAATTATAAGTCATACTTTCAGTGAAGAGCCTTGTCCGTAAATATTCTTTTTTTTAAAAAAAAGATTTTATTTATTTACTTGAGAGAGAGACAGAGAGAGCATGAGCAGGGGGAGGGGGAGAGGGAGAGGGACAAGCAGACTCCCCGCTCAGTGGGGAGCCCGACGTGGGTCTTGATCCCAGGATTCTGAGATCATGACCTGAACCCAAGATCATGACCTGAGCCAAAGTCAGAAGCTTAACTGACTGAGCCACCCAGGTACCCCAGATATCTATTTCGTTAGGCTAGATTCCTGAAAGAGACCTTCATTCTGTCCTCAAACTGCCCTCCAGAAAACTGGGCTGCACTTCTGTCACAGAAGCATGTTTATTCCTCTCAAAATGACCTCAGAGCCTAAAGCAGAATAGCAGGAACCCAAGGTGGAGGATTCTCTCCTGTCCTGAGGGAGCCTTTCCTTGGCTTCTCAGCCATAGAGCAGATTACGTGAAATATACTGGAGGAGGGGGCAAGGCAGGATGAGACCCGAGAGAGAGAGAAGGAAAACCCACAGTAGCTGCTGGGATCTCACTCAGAGCCTACCTACTCTTACTTTACACACACTTCTATATTCCAATAAATTTGTGACCTGGCTTTCAAGAGCACAGCAACAAATTAGGGAGGGGAAGCAAGACTGCTGCTTAGAGGCACCCTGGTCCACTATACAGTTGCCAAAGGAAGAGCAAGTGAAAGTATAATAAAGTGGAATCAGAAAACACCTAGTCCCAGGGCGCCTGGGTGGCTCAGATGGTTGAGCGTCTGCCTTCGGCTCAGGTCACGATCCCAGGGTCCTGGGATCGAGTCCCACATCGGGCTCCCGGCTCAGCGGGGAGCCTGCTTCTCCCTCTGACCCTCTCCCCTCTCATGCTGTTTCTCTCTAAGAAAAAAAAAAAACAAAAAACACCTAGTCTGGACCATGCAGCACAGTGCTTAACTGTCCCACAGATCCCAGTAATGGATAAGGAGGAGCCGATTAGATTGGGTGATCTCTAAGTGTGCCTCTCAACTTGAGATTCTGGCAGGCATCTTGAATATTGTGGTAGGCAGATTAATGTCCCCCTTCCCAAAGATACCTCCTCCTCCTCCTCCTTCTCTTCTTTTTTTTTTTTTTTAAAGATTTTATTTATTTATTTGTCAGAGAGGTGAGAGAGAGCATACACAGGGGGAGCTGGAGAGGGAGAAGAAGGCTCCCCGCTGAGCAGGGAGCTCGATCCCAGGACCCTGGGATCATGCCCTGAGCCGAACGCAGATGCTTAACCGACTGAGCCACCCAGGCACCCCAAAGATGTCCTCTTCTTAATCCCACGAATCTGTGACTATGTTACGCTATGTGGCAAAGAGGAATTAAAGTTGCGGATGGAACTGAAATGGCTAATCAGCTGATCTTAAAATAGGGAGATTATCTTGTTGGACAATGTAATCACAAGGATTTTAAAAGTAGAAGCAGGAGGCGGAAGAAGAGCTAGTGTTGGATTGACACAATGTCAGAAAGATGGGGCCATTGACAGCTTTGAAAAATGGTGCCAGCCACACACCAAAGAATGTGGAAGCTGGAAAAGGCAAAGAAGTGGATGCTCCATAGAACCTCCAGAAGGAGGCCCTGTGGACACCCTTGAGTTTAGCCTAGAGAGACCCATTCTGGATTTGACTAATGAAACTGTAAGGTAATAAATGTGCATTGTTTTAAAGTTTGTGTTAATTTGTTAGAACAGCCAGAGGAAAGGAATAGGGACATCATCTGGTACTGCCCAGCAGAAAGATGCCCCTAGAAGAAGAGTGCCTTGCTCTTGGCTGCACAGCGCCCGGACTCCGGACGAGAAGCGCATGCATACTCCTGGCTCTGGTCTTTCTATTTTTATTTTTTTAATTTTTAATTTTTTTTTTTCCCCCTAAGTCCTGCGGTTCTCTGCCTTCTTGATGATGAAGGTATTACCAAAGCTAACTTGTGTCCTGGCATGAGTCAGTTATCTGGAACATTCATCTCCAGGCGTTGCTAGGTGTCTTTCTGGGTGAGTAGGGCTCGCCCCCCACCCGCAACTCCAAGGGCGAGGCTCCGCGCCCCTCCCTCAGTGACACGTGCTGTCCAGATGTGGAGGGGCGGGGCGCTGGGGCTGCGGGCCCCAGGGGGGCGCTCGGGGTGGGGGGCGCAGGGCACCCGGAACCCAAGGGCGCTTCCAGGGGGCCGGCGGCGGAGCGGCTCCCCACCCGCGGGGGGCTCCGGGGAGGCTGCGAGGGGGCGGGCGCGGACGGGTCCCGGCGGAGCTGCGGGCCGGTGGCCTGAAAGGGGTTAACCCGGAGGTGGTGGGGTCAGGTTACTTCCCTTTAAAAAGACGGGGAAAGGAGGAGTCAGGCCCTGGTGGGGCAGCTGTCGGTGGCCGCCTGACTCGGCGGCGGCGGCGTCGGGGAGGAGGCTCCCAGCCCGCGGGGTGGAGGGCGTCTGCGGCCGCAGGCAAGTGGAGCGCGCTGGAGGGGCTGCGGAGGGGCTGCGGCGCTGCGGGCGCAGAGGGGCTGCGGGCCGGGTGCAGGGCTGCGGGGCGGCTGCCGGAGTGAGCGAGGGACCGGGACGCAAGCGTGAGCAGAGGACCCCGCATCTGCTGCCGACGCCCCCTTCTGGGACAGGTACACTGAGGTTCAGGGAGAGCGAAAACTTTTTCTTTCCTGTTCTTTTCTCCGGCCCCTCCTCCTCCTCCTCCTCTTCTTCTTACAGAAGTTTATTCCTAAATGTACAACAGGTTCCAAGACAGCACTAGGTTCTAGATTTGGGTGGCAACGGATGTTGTGGCAGGGACCCCAGATGTTTCCGCAGGAATGGAATGAAGCGTCGCCACCGCTCCAGGCACAGGAAGGGCTTACTGGGGCCAGATTTCTTCATTCCACCTGTGGCCAGGGGGCCCCTGCCCGGGGGCTTCGTTCTTAGCTCCTTGAGTTTCTCCTGCGCCCCTCTGTTCCTGCCTGACCACCTTGCCTTGACCACCTCCTTGGCCAGCTTCTTGGGCTGCTCCTTTGCGCAGGAGCGGGTGTCTGCGGCCCCTTCCCCAGGGCCCACCACCACAAGTGCGAGGAATTCTTTTGGCAGAGATCCCGCTGTGATCTTGTGGCCTCCTAGCCCGCTTCCCTGTGGAGCCTTGGAGGCTAGACCATTCCTGGAAGAAGGCGAAGCTGCTTCTGTTTCACAGATGGGGGGGAGGCCCAACTGTGTGAGGCAGCCCAGCCCCCACCCTGGGTTCCCACCTCCCCACCCCAGCCTCTGGGGCCAGCTCCTTATCACTGCCACATCCCTAAGTCAGGTCCTCCAGCCCCTCTGCTTGAAGTTTTATTGCTAAGGCTTCTGAGGAGATCACGGGGGTCCCCACATTGGAAGGGGCCGGGGGATTGGAATTGGGTATAGTTCCTGGGCTTGTGTCTCTGGTGGAAGGTCCAGAACCCCTTGCTGGGTGCTGCTGGACAGTCTGAGAGGGATGGCAGGGACGGTGGGTCAGCTGCTCACACCGAGGCCCCTTGGTGCCTTTATCCCCACTGACAGCCATCATCACCTGCCTGGGCCCCCCTAGGCATCTGTCATCAAAGGCCCCACAGGGGCTCCAGCTGCACCCATGGAAGTAAGGTCAGCGTCCTCCACAGGCCTGTGTCTGGTAGGAGCCCCCACCGTGGCCCTCCTGCCAAGAAGTTCCACTTCCTAGAACCACCCCCAGCTTCCGGTCCTGGTCTGGAGGCATGGAGCCCATAGCCCATTGGCAGAGCCCCCAAGCTGGCCTCCATCAGATCTTCAGTCTCTGGGCCATTGCCTGCAACAGCCGCTTCAGCTCCATGACCCTTAATGTGCCTATAAAATTCAGAAGGGGGGGCGCCTGGGTGGCTCAGTCAGTTAAGCATCTGACTCTTGGTTTCAGCTCAGGTCATGATCTCAGGGCCCTGAGATCCAGCCCCGTGTCAGCTGCGTGCTGAGTGTGGAGCCTGCTTGGGATTCTCTCTCTCCCTCTCTCTCTGCCCTCCCCCCCCCCGCCCCCGCACATGCGCATGCGCTCTCTCTCAAAAAATAAATAAATAAAAATAAAAATTCAGAAGGGACACACAGTCCCCCTAAAAGATGATCAGACCTTTCATCCTGCCCAGATCGGCCTTTGTAACTTGCTATCATGTTGTTATGCTAAAAAGTGCTTGTCTCCTCCAGGGCCCAGGAGAAAATGTAGGGTGGGGTGGGAGAACGTTTTCTGAGATTGGGAGGGTGCGTGTGTAGTTAAGGCTGGAAAAGCTGCCGGTAACTAGCTGTGTGACCTCGGGCAAGTCACTTCATCTCTCTCTGCTTCGGTTTCCTCAACAGCCAGCCCACCGGTGGTGATTACCCTGGTGGGACCCATAGTAGATGCTCAGTTACACAGATGGGAGCAGCCAGGCAAGCTCCACAGCCCAGAATGGTCCCTCCGTGGCTGGTGTACCACCCCCGAGCCCACCAGGGCCTCTCCGCTCCTTCCCTCCTGAGTGCGCTACATTGGGTTAGAAATCCATAGCAGGAGCTAACTTCCTATCAGGTCCTTCTGAGGTTCTCACAGGACGGACAATGTCTGATGCTCCCAGAGGAAGCACCCTGGGGGCTGGCCCACACCCAGCCTCACACAGCTGTGGATGGAGGCCTCAGAAGCTTGGGAGTAGGCCAGGGACTTGAGGGGCCAGAGTGTGTCCTATGCTGGGGCCCTAGCCTCGTCCCCACCTCCCTCTCGCTGTTTCTTCAGGACAGACAGATGGGCTGCAGGTTGTCCCTTAGAACCCAGCCTGCCCAGCCTTGCAGGTGACAAGGGGCAACTGAGTGAGCGTTAAGTAGCAGCTTACCCAAGGGGTCTGTGAGGGAGCCTGGATCGCACCAGACTGCAGGTCCCGGGCTCTCCCCACCACACCCCCTCCCAGGCTCCTGGCTTTCCCATGTTGGAATAGAAGGTAATCTGTGCCCCCCACATCTGAGACAAAGTTGCCTTTTCTCGTTCAGTTGAGGTCTCCTACATGTGTGCCTTAAATATTCTCCGAGTTGGTCAACCTTATTTTTTTTTTAATTGAGAAGAACTTTTGTTCTCTAGACCAAAACAAAGACAGGCAGAAATATATAAACCCATAGAAAGGAAGCTTTGATTGAGAAGGGGTTGGAGGTACGCAGCTTCTCCCTCATCAAGAGATTAACAGTAAAAGGAACACACACATTTTGCTCACCTGCAGAAAGGTCCCACTCCAAAGACAGCTCACAGGGGACCCCAGCCCCAGAACCAGACAGGGTGGAGCAATGATTTCCACACTTGATCTTAGCCAAAAGGCCGAGAAGCGATGGAGCAATGATTTCCAAAGTGAGTGCAGTGATACAAGATGATTTTAGAGGCTACCTTGATGAATAGTTTTTAAATCAATAATCATTAATTAAAATGTATACAGGAGAAATTATAACTTAACACATCTAACCATGAGTTCCCGGTAATTATTGCTCTGAAGGAGAGTAAATAGTAGACTGATTTAAAGAAAAATATTGGGGTGCCTGCATGGCTCAGTCAGTTAAGCATCCAACTCTTGATTTCGACTTAGGTCATAATCTCAGGGTCGTGAGATTGGGCCCCGTGTCAGGCTCCATGCTCAGCATGGAGTCTGCTTGAGATTCTTTCCCCCTCCCTCTCCCTCCCCCTCTGCTTCTCCCCCCACTCGTGTGCACTCTCTCTCTCTCTCTCTCAAATAAATAAAATCTTTAAAAAAAAAAAGAAAACTATTAAGTGAATAATATACAAGAGGATCACAGATATGGCAAAAGTCACAAAGGTGATTTGTGTCTATGATCCAGGAGCCCAAGAAGGAGTATGAGGTATGGGAGGGAAATCCGCCCCCAGGATCAAGTGTCTGAACTAGGGCGAGTTCCGTCTTTAACCCTGGCTCATTTTCTTATTGATGCATCCATTCCACAAGCAGGTGTTATCTGCCCGCTCTGTACTAGGTGTTTCCTGGTGTGGGGGATACGGTCCCCATGGTGCTGAGAGGTTTGGGGGTGCTGGGAGGGCTGTCCTGGGACGGCATCACTGAAGTGAGCCTCCAGGATGATGGGTGAGAGAAACACAGAAGCTTTCCAGACCCAAGGAGTAGCTTGTTGCTGGTGGGGAGGGGGTTGCGGTACGTGGCTAGAAGGGGGAGAACATGGTGGGCTTGAGGAACAGAAAGAGGCTTGTGGGCAGAGTCCAGAGGGTGACAGGGGAAGAAAGCTTGAGATGAGACCAGAAAATCTTGGAGGGCTGGATCATGCCTGACCTAAAAGCCATGGCAAGGATTGTGTACATGATCATTCGTTTAGCCAGTATTTACTGGGCTCCTGCCCTGTGCTGGTATTGGAGGGGCTTATAAAATTAGGGTCTTCCTTTAAGGTGCTCGGGTCTAGTGGCCGGCTTTTGAACACACAGATGGTCTATTCCTAAATGCTGTTTTAGAAATGTGGAACAGAGGCCAGGGAAGCACAGAGGGGAGAGAAGAAGGCCGTGACATTTGAGCTGGGTTTTGAAGGATGAGTAGGAGTTTGACAGGAGGGAGAGGAAAGGCATTCCTAGTAGCAGAAACAGGATGAGTAAAGGCACCAGCAGGTTTGGGGACATGGCTGAGCCTGGAGCCACAGTAGGCATTGGAAAGAGGAGAGGCCAGATGGTCAAGTTCACGGAAGGTCTTCAGACTCAAGACTGAGGTTTCATTCTGCAGGCAGTGAGGAGCTGGAGACCGAGCTTGAGCAGGAAAGGAAGATCCTTCTGCTGAGGTGTGTGCCGAGGCTGGGGACTGCCACCACTACCCAGAGCGGTGTGAAGATGGCCAGGCTTGGGCCCTAGCAGGGGGGAAGCTGCGGAGCATGCCCCTCTCTGTGTCCCCCAGCCTGAGCTGGCCTGGTGCCCAGAGCAGGGACCCCTTATTACAGGGCAATAAGCTGCGCCAACTTTGAAAACTAGAGGCCCTTTCCAAAAGAGTAACGATTCCAGCCAGCTGGGCCTGTGGTCCGTGTCCAAAACAAACAGGAAGAGACCACAGTGGGCCAGGCAGGGCCTCTTTCTTTGTTTGGAGACGGGATTAGGCCAAGTGGGCTCGTGGGTCTTTCTGCTTCAGAGGTGGGGGGCTGCAGGTTCAGGCAGGGACGGATTGAAACTTGGTTTAGGGGGACACAGGGCCCTGGGGGCCAGCCTACAGTAGGGTTGCTATACAGATGGCCTCCTTAGGTCAACCCTGGCCCCAATGATAGACTGGGAACACATGCCACATCACCCTTGGGAGCCACTGTGCCCTGTGTCACCATGCCCAAGCTGGAGCCTTCTCTCGGGCACTTGGCTTCCTATTAGTGCCCTCGGCCCTCAGCCCAGGCCTGAGGAGGGTGGGTCCTGGCCACCACGGTGGGAAATGCATACCTGCCAGCCCAGGGCCCCGTAGGCAGGTCTCTAGAGAGAAGGAAAGGAATGCCAAAGGCTCAGAACACCCTCAGTCTGAAAGATGAGCACTAGGGATCCCCCCGAAGACCCCGCACTCAGCCTCTCACCTCCGCCGGCCCGATGACAGGGGGCAGTCATTCATTCTTGCGGTTACGCGTGAATGAATTCATCTACGTGTCCATTCAGTGCATGTGTGCATTCACTTCCCAAGCGTTCACACGGGCTCGGGGGAAGGCAGACTGGAGCTAGGGTGGGCAGGGGAAGATGGATAAGGTTCTTAAGGGGCTGACAAGCTGCCTTGACTTGAGCCAGCACAAGTGAGCCCTGAGATACATTTGGCCTGAACAAGAACACTGCTTGTCTGCCATGGTTGGAGGAAGGTTCCGAGAAGGGGCAGGCAGTTCTCCCAGGGCCAGAGTCGGGGCAGGGCCAGAGGTGGAAATGGGCTAGAAAGACTTCAATAATTACCAGGCGCTGAGGTAGGGTGGGGTTTGGGGGTTATTGTTTAATGAGTATAGGATTTCTGTTTGGGTTGATGAAAAAGTTTTAGAAATAGTGATGATGGCTATACAACACTGTGAATGTTCTTAATGCTACTGAATTATAGACTTAAAAATGGTTAAAAGAGTAAATTTCATGTTATGTATATTTTATCACAATTTAAAAAAAACGATGAGTGGCTGCCAAGGGTTTGGGGGAAGGGAAAAAGGAATGATTAGGTGGAACACAGGGAATTCTTAGGGAACAGAAACTATTCTGTATGGTACCTTAATGGTGGATACACATCATTATACATTGGTCAAAACCCATAGCATGTATAACACAAAGAATGAATCCTAATGTCAACTATGAACCTTGGTTAATAATAATGAATCAATACTGGCTTATCAATTTTAATAAATATACCACACTAAATGCAAGATGTTAAAAGAGGGGAAACTGTGTGTGGCCAAGGGTGGGAAGAGATGTATGGGAATTCCCTGTACTTGCTGCTCAATATTTCTGCAAACCTAAAACTGCTCTAAAAATAAAATCTATTAATATTAAAAAAAAAAAAAAAGAAGACTTCAATAAGCAGTGACTCCTGAAACAATGAATCATGGAACACTGCATCAAAAACTAATGATGTAATGTATGGTGATTAACATAACAATAAAAAGTCAAAAACCCCCCAAAAAGCAGTGACTCCTGAATCGATTCATGCATGAGTGCGTTCACTCAACAAATATGTATTGAGCACCTGCTGTGTGCCAAGCACCATGCCAGGGGCTGATGAGTGGAAGTAGCCAAGGGCCTGCTTTCATGGGGACTGAAGTTGCTGGGAGAGACAGACAGGGCTCAAGTCTTCACCACAGGGATCAAACGGAAAACTGTACTGAGTTACAGGGCTTCGACGGAGAGGTTTGTGGTACTAATGGAACTAATAGAGACTTGACCTGGCCAGGGAGGGCTTCTCTGAGAAAGACTGGAAGGATGAATAGGAAATAACTAGGGAAAGAATTGGGAGAAGAGGATCCAGTCAGCGGGAACAGCATGTGCAAAGGGCCTGTGGCAGAGGGGCTGGCTGAAGACCAGAGTGGCTGGACAGAAGGGAATGTGGTGAAAATGAGGCTGGGAGGTGGGCAGGCTGATGGCATCTGAAATTGTAGGTCCCTTTGGAAGATTTAGTCTGGATTTTATGAGCAAAAGGAAGGTTTTGTTTTTTTGTTTTTTTGCAATTTTCTTTTTAAGTCATCTCTACCCCCAACATGAGGCTTGAACTCATGTTCCTGAGATCAAGGGTGGCATGTTCCACTGACTGAGCCAGCCAGGTGCCCCAGGAAGGTTTGAAGCCGTGATGAAAAGTGATCCAATTCTTGTGGCAAACAGGTTTGAGGGGGCCTGAGCGGAAGTGGCGAGTCCCTGGGGGGATACTGGTGTCTGCATAAACAGGGAGAGTGGCTTTGACCAAGGACATGGTGAGATCTGGGGATGGGGGCAGAATTGGACATGGAAGTAAGGGTCAGGAGGTGTCAAGGTCTGAGACACTGGGCTGCCTAATAGGAAGAGTGATAATGAACATCATTTTATTAAGTATGATAAATAATATCTTCATTTCTACTAAGGCTAGGAAAAGAGGCCATGGCTGAGCTCTGAGTAAGGAAGAAGCGAATAATGATGGTTAGGTTCTGCTATGTGGTGTTTAATATGTTCTCTTGTTCAATCTGTGCAACAAAGCTGAGAGGTGAATACTATTATCTATTTATGAGGTGAGAGCTCTCAGCAAGGTAGAGTTACCTGCCCAAGGTCACAGCTGGGAAGAGGTTAAGCCTCCACCGGCCTCCTCTCTTAAAAAAAAAGGGGCAGAACATCTTTCTTTCTCCTCAGTATGCTGATAGTTGAGATAGAAATTTTTGGCAAGAAGGGGTAAGAGGGGGAATCTGGAAGAACTCCCTGCTCTAGAAGAACACAAGGGAGGCTGGGACCCTGTCCCCAGGGCTTGGATTGCCCTGGGTGTCCTGCCGGGATCCAGCCACAGGGGTGACCCAAGCCAGAAACTGACTCTCTCCTCTGCATCTCCCACCTCTTCTTGCTCCTGGGAAGTCCTTCCCTGACTCTAACCTCAGTCCTCCTGCTTCTGTCCCCACTGTCCCAGCACGCAGGCAGATCAGTGCCACCCAGCCCCACTGCTCCCTCTTCCTGCAGCCTGTAACCAGATACTGTTTGCTCCCCAGCAGGCACCCCGGCTCACTGTGTCTGGATCTCCTCCTCTCCGGAGCCTGAGCGGAGGGTGCCCCTGCCCAGCCCACTGACCTTTGCCTGTGTGAGCCCTGGTTAATTTTCGCCCAGGCTGTGGGCTGTGGGGCTCCTCCCCAACCCTCTCAGGGATATAAGTCTGGCCCGAGGCTGCCTTGCTCCTCACCGTCCTGCACTGCCCCCAGCTCCCCCTCTGCCCTCACCATGGCCAAGGGCTTCTACATTTCCAAGGCTCTGGGCATCCTGGTCATCATCCTGGGCGTGGCGGCCGTGTGCACCATCATCGCTCTGTCCGTGGTGTATGCCCAGGAGAAGAACAAGAACACCGGGAGCTCCACGGCCACCGCAGCCACCGCAGCCACCACCACGGCCACCACCACGGCCACCACCACGGCCACAATCACGGCCACCACCACAGCCACCACCACAGCCACCACCACGGCCACCACCACGGCCACCACCACAGCCACCACCACAGCCACCACCACGGCCACCACCACGGCCACCACCACGGCCACCACCACGGCCACCACCACGGCCACCACCACGGACCAAAGCAAACCATGGAACCGTTACCGCCTCCCCAAGACTCTGATTCCCAGCTCCTACAACGTGACGCTGCAGCCCTACCTCACCCCCAACAGTGAGGGTCTGTACACCTTCCACGGCACCAGCACCGTTCGCTTCACGTGCAGTGAGTCCACCAACGTCATCATCATCCACAGCAATAAGCTCAACTACACCAACATCCAGGGGCAAAGGGTGGCCCTGCGGGGCGTGGGGGGCACGCGGGCCCCCGCCATTGACACGACCGAGCTGGTGGAGCTCACCGAGTACCTGGTGGTGCACCTCCGGGAGCCACTGCAGGTCAATGGCCAGTATGAGATGGACAGCGAGTTCCAGGGGGAGCTGGCTGACGACCTGGCGGGCTTCTACCGCAGCGAGTATATGGAGAACGGCGTCAAAAAGTAAGTTGCCGCGGGGTCTGTCTGTTGGGTGGGGGCAGGTCCTAGATGCTGAGGCAGAGCTGGATCCTGGGGGCCAAGAAAGGGCTTGGATTGCAAGCCTTTGAACCTCCTGGAGCCTCTCGCTGGCCCCTGACTCCATCCACAGGTGCTAGGGAGCATCTGCCTAGAAAGCAGCCCTCTCCTGGGGGCTTCCGTACCCCACACGAGGGAGTCAGGGGCTAGTGGTAAAGCCTCTTGGATAGATAGGAAAACTGGGGCTCAGGGGAGAGAAACTTGCCCGAGGTCTCCTGGCTAATACAGGGGTGGAGCCTGCTGGGACTTTGACCCTGACTCCGGAAGGAGTTGCCTGTCAGGCCCCAGAGGTTGCCTGGGGGAGGTGGGGAGGGCAGGGATGAGGCTGGACCAGCCTTTCACGCAGCCCTTCTCCTGCATGCCCGGCAATACCCCGAAGCCCCCGACCCTGCCCACCCTGACGGGGCGCAGGCATTCTCCGCCGGCGTGTGTTCTAATGTCCCGGTTCGGGCAGGGTGCTGGCCACAACGCAAATGCAGGCCACACATGCCCGGAAATCCTTCCCGTGCTTCGACGAGCCAGCCATGAAGGCCACGTTTAACATCACCCTCATCCACCCCCGCAACCTCGTGGCCCTGTCCAACATGCTGCCCAGAGGTGAGTGCGTCCGTCCTGGGGCCACGCAACCCTAGGAAGGAGGCGGCCCGGGGCTGGGACGCGATGCGGGGCAGAGGAGACCTCTCTACATGTTTGACGGCTCCGTGCCCAGGCCCCAGCGTCCCTTTCTCGAGAGATCCCACCTGGAGCGTCACCGAGTTTAAAACCACGCCTGTAATGTCCACTTACCTGCTGGCCTACATCGTTAGCGAGTTCAAGCATGTGCACACGAGAACGCCCAGTGGCGTCCTGGTAAGAAGCCGGGCCCTCCCGTCCCTCCCCAGGATCGGCCCGAGGGATATCCTTGTTTTAATTCATTCCCATCTTCAGCCCCTATTCCAGTGTTCGAATCCCAGCTCTGAGGGATCTTGGACAAGTGTCTTAAGTTCTGACCCTGAGTCTCTGCATTTGAAAAATGGGTCTGTCCTCATGAAGGGCGTTCCCAGTGCCTGGGTGCCAGGCAGACAGTGGCCATGACCACTATTATTCCTAAAGGCTCCTCCCTAGGACTCAAATACCCTCAGAGACACCCCCCACCCCCCAGCCTTCTCTGCTGCTCACGCCTCTCAGTTTAACCTAGTTGGTGCCCTCACTAGCCTGCTGGCCCCTGGGGCCCTGCCCATCTGCACCGGGACCAGGGAGGGCCTCTGACCTACCTCCATCCTCTTTGCAGATCCAGATCTGGGCTCGGCCTAGTGGGATCGACCAGGGCCATGGAGATTATGCCCTGAATGTGACAGGCCCCATCCTAGACTTCTTTTCCGCACATTATGACACACCCTACCCACTCAACAAATCTGGTGAGTGAGGGGCCCTGTGGTGGGGGCAGAGGATGGGGCTCCCTACCCAGAGGCCATCCTGCCAATGGCCTTGCCCCCCCCAGACCAGATCGCCTTACCTGACTTCAACGCTGGCGCCATGGAGAACTGGGGGCTGGTGACCTACCGGGAGAACTCTCTGCTCTTCGACCCGCAGTCCTCCTCCAGCAGCAACCGGGAGCGGGTGGCCACCGTGATTGCGCATGAGCTGGCCCACCAGGTAGCCCCCCCATCCCAGGGCGCGCCGAGAAGTGAGTAGGGGGCTCTGGGAGGAGAGGGCACAAGCCCTGGCTCTGCCCTAGGCCGCTGCAAAGGGAGGAGGCTCCCAGCAGGCAGGATAGTGGAGGGGAGTCACGGCGACGCTGGTGAAGTGCTGACCGGCGCCTGGCACGTGGGGACGCTCGGGGAAGGGGCGTTCTGGGTACTGTGAGTGACCACAAGGCCAGAGTGGCTAGCTGGGCTGACCTTCCCTCCCCAACAGTGGTTTGGGAACCTGGTGACCTTGGAATGGTGGAATGACCTGTGGCTGAACGAGGGCTTTGCCTCCTACGTGGAGTACCTGGGCGCCGACCATGCAGAGCCCACCTGGAATCTGGTGAGCCAGCTGCCTGGGGGCCCCTGGGTGCGGGGTCGGCGGTCCCACCCCACCGCCAGGCTGGTCTCCTGATGGCCACTGGGGATTTGCAGAAAGACCTCATGGTGCTGAACGACGTGTACAGGGTGATGGCCATAGATGCGCTCGCCTCCTCCCACCCGCTGTCCTCGCCTGCCAATGAGGTCAACACGCCGGCCCAGATCAGCGAGATGTTCGACTCCATCTCCTACAGCAAGGTACTGAGGCAGTGGGGGGCAGGCAGATGGAGTGGGGACTCGGCCCATGGAGGCCCCCAACTCGCCCCCGCCCCAGCCACGGCTCTGGCCTGGTCCTGTGGGCTCAGCATCGCTCTCTGAGACCCCCTCTCCCCTTCCCCAGGGAGCTTCGGTCCTCAGGATGCTCTCCAGCTTCCTGACGGAGAATCTGTTCAAGAAGGGCGTGGCGGTGAGTACCCTGGGCCAGCCATGCGGGGGTGGGTTTCCCCCAGCCCCTGCCCTGTGTCCCCAAGCCCCTGTCTACCGCAGGGGTTCCGTGGGAGAGGCGGGGGAGCACCAGCTTTGCCCTCACTGTGGCCTGTCTTTCCACAGTCTTACCTCCACACCTTTGCCTACAAAAACACCATCTACCTGGACCTGTGGGACCACCTGCAGAAGGTCAGTAACAGCCAGCCACCTGCAGCCATTTTGTGGGGGTCCTGAGATGCTGTAAGTCCCCGGGGCCGGCGGGGGGTGCGTCACGTGTGGGAGAATGTGTCCAGCCCCACTGCTTACCAGCCCAGGCAGGTCCTCTGAAGCCTTGGTTGCTCATCTGTAAAGTGGGTGCCATGAGAGCTCCTCGAAGGAGGTGTTATGAGACCGTGGGTCTGGAGCTCGGGCAGGCAGCTTGCCCCCCCGCTGCAGTGAGCTGCATGATGGGAGCCGAGGAGCACCCTCATCAGCCAGCCCGCATGGTTCCTAAGCCCTCCTCTGCCTGGGACTCTGGAGCCAGTCATTCCACCTACTCAGCACTCCTGGCCGCCCCTCCCAGGCATGACTCTGCACACTCCGGCATCCACAGCACTGACTTTGACCTTCTCGCCCAGTCCTGCCTTGCATTCCTGTCCTCTTAGACCCCACGCAGCCCAGTCTGTGGGACAGACCCTCTGACCACCCCGCCTCCCCTCTCCCCTCCCTGCCTCTCCTAGGGCTGGAGTCTACACACTCCCATCTTCCCCTCATTTGCCCTCCTTTACAGCAGCCTGACTGACTCCTCCAGAGTCCCGAGCCCAGTCCAGCAGGGAGGGGAGACCCAGGGCCTCGGCAGGGAGTCACGGCTGGGCTCCAGCACCCTCCTGGCTGGTCTCCAGCCCAACTTCTATCTGCCAGGAGCCTGCTCGGCCCCCCTCCCCAATTCCGCCCCCTCCCCGGACCTCCCACAACCTGCTGACCTGGGGCACCTCACTGCCTCGGTCCCTGCCCTCCACATCCACTGTCTTCCTGGCCTGCCTCAGTCTCCCGCTCCTTCCTCTCCTGCAAAGCTGAGCCCTCCTCCATGCCTGGTGCCCCTCCAGCTCCACCCCTCCCTCCCACTCCCTCTGTCCCTGAGCCCCGCCTCTCTGCAGCAGCTCCCGGCTCCCCTCCCTGCTCAGCTTCTGGCCTTCTGAGGCTCTTCTTCCTCTTTCTGTCTTTATTTTCTCACTTATTAACAGATGTTGTTGGCTTCTTGCCATTATTACAAAAGCAATGCATGTGCGTGAAAACAGAGGAAAAAAACCTAAGAAGACAATGGAGAGCACCCTAAGCCCGTCCCCAGACCACCCACGCTCTCACCCTCTCCCTCGCTCTGCACCCTGTCTGCTCCTCTGCCCTCTCCTACTCCAGGGTTGTTCATGCTGGCTGCCCCCCCACATACCCACCTCACGTTGGGCCACAGAAGCGGGGGACCCTCATAGATTTGCTTAGCTGATGGGCAGTGCACCAAACGCCTGGAGGTTCTCAGCTCGCCCAGCCCTGGGGCTGGGAGCCCCGCTCCTGCCTCCCCACGAGGTGGCACTTCCACAGCGAGCCTGGGGGTCTGCCGAGGCTGCGGCGGGTGGGCACGGTGGGAGGGGGCGCCCCGCTGACGGCCGCACCGTGTTGCTGTGCCCCAGGTCGTAAACGATCAAGCCATCGAGCTGCCAGACACCGTGCGCAACATCATGGACCGCTGGATCCTGCAGATGGGCTTCCCGGTCATCACCGTGAACACCACCACTGGCGCCATCTCCCAGCAGCACTTCCTCCTCGACTCCGAGTCCGTGGTCACCCGCCCCTCAGAGTTCAAGTGAGCAGACGGGGCCACTGAGGCAGGCGTCCTAGGAGGGGCTCGGAGGGGCAGTGGCCGTGGCGCCCCCTGACCCCGGGGCGCCCCATGGTCGCTCTTCCTTGGCCGAGGCTGCCTCTCACCACCTGGTCTGGGGGGCTCTTGTTGCAGGTACCTGTGGATTGTGCCCATCACTTCCATCAGAAATGGCCTGCAGCAGAAAGGCTACTGGCTTCCAGGAAATGCACAGGGTAATCCGGCCCTGCCCTAGTGGACGGCAGGCCCAGCCCAGACTCCCAGCTCCTGGCCCACGTTCTGGGGGCTACGGCAGGCCTCGCTGGTGGCTTCCTTCGTCATTTCATTCAACCAATGGAGCCGACTGTTTTGGTTCTAAGCTCTCCTCTGCTGTTGCCCAGCTGGGTGACCCAGGGCGAGTTACCATCCCTCTCTGGTCTCCATTTCCTCGTCTATAAAATGGGGCTGAGAACGGTATCTACGCCATTGAGTTTGTGTGGGGACTCAAGAAGAGAATGTATAGGAAATGTTTAAAACAGCGCCTGGCACAAAGTATGAACAGCCCTGCTCTGCCAGGTACCAAGGAAACCAAGCTTAAGGCAATTCCTCCTTGGCCTAGGCCAGAACCGCAGATGAAGAGAAGGAAGATAAGCAGCTAGAACTTTCCAGAGCTGTGTTGCGTGCTTTAACAGAGGCATGTACAGCCTCTGGGCTGCTGGGCACAGGGCAGGGAGCCAGGAATAAGGAAGATTTCGCTTTGTGGAGAGGTGAGGGAAGGCGTCCTGGAGGGGGTGAGCGGCGTCCTAGAGGAAGGGAAGGACTTAGCCAGGCTCATGGCGGCAGAGGAAATAGCAAGGGCAAGGCACAGAGGTAGGAGAGAACGTAGGGACTGTGGTAGGGCAGACGTGTGCCCTCAAAGTGAGGCTGGCTCCTGAGGTCCCTGCAGGCTGCAGGACACAGCGGCTGTGTCCTCAGGCCAGGAGGAGCCCGGGCAGGTGGGAAGTGGGTGAGAACCACCTCTATGGAAGGACCGCGTTCTGGCTGCCAGGAGAAAGGCTGGAAGTGGGGGCACTGGGGGGTTGAGCGGCAGGGAGGCATCGCCTGGGCTTCCCCCTCGGGGACTGGGGCATGATGGGGCTGTTGACAAGCCCAGAGAGGAGGAGGAGTAACAGCCTGGGGAGTTGAATCTGAGTGGTCTGGGGGGGTGTGGATGGAGATATCCAGGCCGCGGTCACTGGCCCAGCCACGTGGAGCCTGTGGGAGGCAGGGTGGGCATGGAGGGGCAGAGACCGCATGAGGTCCATCCGAGGTCACCGGCCAACCCATGGCAGAGTTTGGCCTGGCAGCCCAGTCCTACGCCCCTTCCCCTCCCCTCTCCTTGGCATCGCCCAAGGCTTGAGGACCAGCCAGTGCCAGGCTGCATGAGAGGCTGCTCTCGCCAAGGCCTGGAGAGAGGCAGGCCAAGCGTCAGCCTGTGGCCTTGTGAGCAACCCCACCCAGCTCTGGTCTCTCCCCACAGCCCAGGATAACCTGTTCAAAACCACAGCTAATGAGTGGGTCCTGCTGAACCTCAACGTGACGGGCTACTACCTGGTGAACTATGACGAAGAGAACTGGGGAAAGATCCAGACTCAGCTGCAGACAAACCTGTCGGTGGGTGTCTGCCGCCCCACCCCATCCCCTGCCCCAGACCCGGGCCCAACATGGCGCCCCAGACTGCCGGGCCTGCCCTCACCACCAGCCTGAGGTCACACCCTCTGTTGCCCCTTCTAGGTCATCCCTGTCATCAACCGGGCTCAGGTCATCCATGACACCTTCAACCTGGCCAGGTGAGTGCCCCCTTCCTCCTCGGGCCCAGCCTGGCTCAGGCCTGGTGACTTGAGCAAGTGCTGTTCCTCTTGGCCTTCCCGTCCCAGGCACAGGGCAGTGGGCTCCCTGTGCTTCTGCACAGTCCTCCCTGGACCCCCACATAAGGCATCCGAGACTGAGTACTTTACCTCAGGCCACACAGAGGGAGCCCCTGACAGCCAGACACAGGCCCGTCCACTCTAAAACCATGCTGTACTGCCCAACACCGAGCTTTTTCTGAGGATTAACAGCGTGCCAGGCCGCCACGCTAGGTGCTCAGAAAATCTGGGAAGGCCAGGACAGGAGAGATGGAGCACATACTGTGTTCCCAGCAGGTGCTAAGCTGATTTAAGTGAAGTCCCCCATAGACACAGTCATTTATGAACCAAATGTGTGCATATGGCCTGAGAGGGAGGGGGAGGAAGGCACAGAGGGCCAAGCAAGAGAAGAGGTGGGCAGAATAAAGAGCGCAGGCTTTTTGTCCTTATGAATCTCAGCTCTGTGGCCTGAGGCAAGTCACTTGACCTCTCTGAGCCTCAGTTTCCTATTTGTAAAATGGGGACAATACATGATTGGCCGTGGGTGAGGGCGGGGCCTGAGCTGGCCTCGTTTGTGGTACCAGCCAGCATCCATGTCCCCCAGCCCCATCCTCGGCTGGGGCTCTTGGACCTTAGGTTCCACGAAGGGTTCGGGGTTCCCTCCGTGGGGCTGGACTTACTTGAGCCTCTCTGTTTGTCCCCAGTGCCCGAAAGGTCCCTGTCACCCTGGCCCTGAACAGCACTCTCTTCCTGAGCCAAGAGAGAGAGTATATGCCCTGGGAGGCCGCCCTGAGCAGCCTGAGCTACTTCAAGCTCATGTTCGACCGCTCTGAGGTCTACGGCCCCATGAAGGTACAGAGGGGCGTGGCAGGGTTCAAGGACCCATTGACCCAGTGCCTGAAATTGCATCACAGGGAGTTCACAGAAATACTGTCTGGAGTGGTGGTGGACCCTTCAGGCTGCCACAACACGGAGTTCTTTGCCGAGAGCAGGCTGGGCAAGGTGGCAAGAGGGCTATGGGATGAAGGGAGCAGGTACCGACGAGGTGAGCAGATTGGGGAGGGCAAAGAAAGGACACAGACTCCTAGCGAAGCTTCTGTTTGGGAAATTAGCACTGTCAGAAGGGACAGAAGAAGCCACGGCGCTGGGAGCTGGAAGGCCCACCTTTTACCAGCTGGGTGGCTTCGGCCAACTCTCTTCAGCCCCAGCGAACCCCTCTGTGAAGTGAGCAGGCCCACACCTGCCTAGCCCCAGGGCGGGGAGGGAGATGCAGGTGTTAACAGCTTTGAAGTTGGGGTGGTTGGGGTGGGGTATGTTGAGGCTCCCATGAGGGAGACCAGAGGGAAACTCGGCAGCTTCAGCCAAAAAAAAGAACCCCAGGCCCTCAAATGTCCAACAGTTGGGGATTGGTTAAGTAAACTACAGTATCCATTTGATGGCATATTACACAACCATCAGATAATACTCGAAGAGATCTTTTTTTTTTTCTTTGTCAGAAAGAAAGCAACTGCGTGTGTGAGGTTGGGTGGGCCGGGGCAGAGGGGGAATCTTAAGCAGACTTCCACACCCAGCACGGAGCCCAACGCGGGGCTCGATCTCACAACCCTGAGATCATGACCTGAGCCAAAATCAAGAGTCAGACGCTCAACTGACTGAGCCACCCAGGTGCCCCTTGAAGAGATCATTTTTAATTAAAACTTTTTCACATTAACTTCCTATCAGGGTAAATGAGGTATTAGGGCAAATGAAGTATTAGGGTAAATGAGCTTTTAACTCATTAAGCTGCCCACCTTGGATTGACCCCCATCCTCCTGATGTAGGGAAGTCATATTTTATCAATACGAGCTGTTGCTCAGTTTGGTGTTGGCAGGCTCTCCCGTGGTGCGGCCTCTCTTGTTTCCCAAACCCGGGGGTTCTTCCTCGAGTTCTCTCTCCCACGGGGGAGCACCCCTTCCAGGAGTTTTTGAGAAAGTGTTCATAGGACGTGGAGGCACATCATCTGCAATGTCTTTGTCCCACCGCGACACAGGACCCAGATTTTACCTGGGTGTAGAAGGTTCTAGGTTGGAAATTATTCCTCAGCGAATTTCAGGCCTCGCTCTACTGACGCCCAGCCTTTCGTGTTGCTGTTGAGAAGCTCAGAGCCTTGCTCATTCCTGGTTATTTGAATGTGGCCATTCTCTCCCTTCTGGAAGCCTGTGGGTTCTTTTCTCAATCCTGGTGGGCCTTTGTGTGGGTCTTTCTCCTCCCCCTGCCCTTTCCATCTGGACATTTTGGCATTGCTCCTTAAGATGTTCTTCCCCTCCTTGCTGTTCGGTTCTCTTTCTGGGTCCCCTGTTAATCCAACTTACTGTTCTTGCGTTGGCCTTTCTTCTGTCTTGCGTTTAAACTTCCAAGTACTGGCCCTGGGTCCAGCATCCTATGCATATCTTCTTGGAACGTTCAGAGGGTCTTCATCTCAGGCTTTTACAAAGCTTTCTTTTTCTTCCATTGACTTGTTTCCTGAGTCTTCTGTTTGTTTTGGTCTCCTTTGGAGACCTCACGTTGGAGGCTGAGCTGCCCCCTTTGGATTTGAGAGTGAGGCAATAAAAGGCAACTGGAAGTTCTGTGAGGAGGTCACATTTGTTACCTGCAGGTCTCACTGGGGGGTGACTGGGTGGACAAGTGACTCCTCATGGGGACCCTCAAATATTAGTATCCATGGGGTGCCTGGTTGGCTCAGTTGGAAGACCATGTGACTCTTGATCTTGGGGTCGTGAGTTCGAGCCTCACGTTGAGTATAGAGATTACTAAAAAAAGAAAAAAAATAGTACCCATGAGTGTGTTCCTCTGAGACCACAGAGCCATCCTGTATCTTCTATAATGAAGCTGGTGATGCTCAGTTTCTGGGATTGGGGATGGGGGAAGAAACTGGAGATATCTCCATTCAGGATATAAACTTTCACCTCTGGCCCTCTCTGCAGTCCACCAACACTTCCCCTGTGTCTGGCGACGCACAGTTCTGAGCCTCTACTCATTCAGCCTCACCCACAGGGGAGGGCGGGGTGTTGCCTGCTGCCAGGATGGAAGTGGGAGCTTGGGGGTTTAATTACTCCTGCTACAGACTCTGACTCCTTTGCCCTGTGTCCAGCCCCCGCCTCACCCCTGTCCCCTGCAGACCCGTCCCTCTGACTCTGAGCCGTGTCGCGGCCACTCTGCCCATCCATCCCTCTCTCCCCGCCTTCCAGCTCCTTGACTGCACGGGCCCCTCATCCACTCTGGTTTCCCTTCCTATTTCCTTTGTTCTCCGAAGTTTGTTCTTGGACATAAGGCGGGGCTTACGTCCCAGTGTCAGGGACAAAGAGCAGCGTGCAGAATTATAGAGAGGCTAGGTAGAAAAGGAAAAAGAAGGGGTAAACTCACCAACTTGAAAATCATAGTTTGGGGAAGCTCCTGAATAGATTTTATTTTCTGCAGATGCTGCTCTGTGTTTTCTAAGCTCCTCACAACACACGTGGGACACTTAGCATCGGGCGGCAGGGGGGAGGGTAGGACCCGACACTGTCTTCAAAAGTGGTGACATGGAGACTGGGAGGGTTAGACCGACTGGGGCTTCCAGGAGGGAGAACCTCAGACCCGTGAGCTGAAACCTGGGCCAGCCCCGGCCCCTTTGAGCCCTGCAGCCCTGGACGAGGCCTGACCCTCCAGCCTCTCTGCCTTCTGTGACGTTAGCCCTCGCGACACCTTCCCACCCACGTCAGGGGCTGCACGGGCTCCAGAAAGGTCAGGCGTGAGTCCCGCCTTCGAAGCCCTTCCTGTTTTCTTTTCCCCAGAACTACCTGAGGAAGCAGGTCACGCCTCTCTTTGATTATTTCGAAAGACTCACCCACAACTGGACTGTTCACCCGCAGACCCTGATGGAACAGTGAGTATACTGTTGGGAAGCTCAGAGCCCTGCTCATTCGCTCACTTCCGGAGGTCATGGGCGGCCCAGACACCCTGACCTGGGCAGTCCAGAGCGGGGCCCTGCAGTGCCCTCCTGAGGACATCTCCTGGCTGGACCAGGGCCGCCAGCAGGGAGAGAACCCCTCCTGGGAGTAGGAGGCCTACCCTGAGGTTCTTCATGGCCTGTGGGCCCATCTGACCTCTTTGTACAAGGGACCAAACTGAAACTGAGGTCTCTCACTGGCTTGGTCCTTTTATTTTATTGTAAAGAGTTATTTATTTGAGAGAGGGAGAGCGAGAGCAAGAGTGCATGAGCTGGGGAGGAGCAGAGGGAGAGGGAGAGAGAGAGAATCCTCAAGCAGGCTCCCCATTGAGTGCAGAGCCCGACGTGATCGCTGAGATCATGACCTGAGCTAAAACCAAGAGTTGGCTGCTTAACCGACTGAGCCACCCACGCGCCCCTTGGTCATTTAGATTCTAGATGTTCAAATTGGGGCTGGAGCTTGTGCTGACCCCTCTAGGTCCCTGGGCTGCCCAAGGCACAAAGCAAACAGGGGGACCCAGAGGGCTGGGTGGGCTGCAGCCCCAGACAGAGCCCGGGCCCTGCCATCCTCCCTAGAGCTGTGCATCAGCAGGGGAATCTTGGCCAGAGTCTGGGCCAGGTGACCCTCGGGCACGCTGACCAAGTGTCACCCCTCGCACAGGTACAATGAGATCAACGCCATCGGCACTGCCTGCACCTATGGGGTTCCTAAGTGTAAGGAGCTGGTCTCAACTCTTTTCGAAAAGTGGAGGAAGGACCCCCAAAATAACCCGTGAGTGTGTCTCCTGCTCCTCCCCCAACCTTCATCCCTCCCTCGAGCCCACAGCCATGTCCTCATCAGACCCTCGTCTACCCAGGATCCACCCCAACCTGCGCTCCATCGTATACTGCAACGCTGTTGCCCAGGGTGGGGAGGAGGAGTGGAACTTCATGTGGGAACAGTTCCAAAATGCCACGCTGGTAAACGAGGCCGACAAACTCCGTGCAGCCCTGGCCTGCAGCAACCAGGTCTGGATCCTGAACAGGTGAGGGCCACGGCCGGACAGGGCTAACTTTCCCTCCCCACTGGAGACCAGGATCCTTGTGTGGGAGAGAACGAACCAGCCAGGCCTCCACACTCTCATTCACGGGATCCCCACAAACTCGTGCAGTGGGGCGGTCTGTTCCCCATTTTACAGATGAGAACACTGAGGCTCAGAGAAGCAAAACAGCTTGCCCAAAGTCCAGAAACTTTAACAAGTGGTGGAGCCAAGATCTGAACCCAGGTCTGGGTCTCCGTCCCAGGTTTTCAAGTGCTGTGGCTTCTTGGCCTGCAGTTGACCGAAGCTCAGTTCTCCTCTCTGTCAAGGGCTCTGGGGCAGCTGGACCTGAGTCCTTTCGGATGTGCAGCTGGGCATGCCTCAAGCTCTTACGTGAGCGCTCCTGGCTCCCACTCCCGGAACCCAGGAAAGAAGAGCCTCTCTATGTCAAAGACAAACATAGCCACCTTTCCTGGTACAGGGCTCTTGGCTCTGGTTCTCCTTCCTTTATCATTCGTTCATGGCCTGCCCTCAGATATTTATCAGGCACTGGGGCCATGTGACACATGACACTTGGCATAGCCAGTGACCCTGCCTAGGAGACTCAGTATCCCTTCTACCAGAGGGAGGTAGGAGTAGGGCCTTCAACCCTCGGTAGGCCAAAGCCATATTAAGAGGCTGCAGGAGAGGTGTGGGGGAGGGGAGGGTGGGGTCCTTCGCCGTCCTGGCTTGTCTCTCGAGCCCTTGGTCACTAAGTCAGCATCCTGCCCTCACAGGTACCTGAGTTACACCATGAACCCTGACCTCATCCGGAAGCAAGATGTCACCTCCACGCTTAGCAGCATCGCCAGCAATGTGGTCGGGCAAAATCTGGTCTGGGACTTCGTCCAGAGCAACTGGAAGAAGCTCTTTGACGAGTGAGTCTGCGGGAGCATGTTAGGAGACGTGCCCACCGAGGCTGGGGTGTCCTGGGGGGGGCGGGATCTGTGTGTCTGTGTGCATGGGACACTGCAGGGCTGGAAGCTGGGGGGCTGTGGGCGCTGCCGAGGAGTGCTGGAAAATTAACCCAGCTTGAGGTCAGTCAGGTGGGGGGCAAAGACAAGGCAGGGTGTGGGCAGGCTCTCATCGCACTCAGGGGACAGTCTGAAGAGGTGGGAGCAGGGACACTGCAATCAGACCAATGTTCGTGTCCCTAGGGCATGTCATTTCATCTCCTCTACACGATGACAGTCGCAGCGTGGCCGTGAGGATACGGTGTCGCCTGCCAGTCACTGAGCGTTAGTTAGTTCTCAGCCCCTCACGCCTCTTCTCTCCCCTCCCCCTTCTCGCAGCTTCGGCACCGGCTCCTTCTCCTTCTCCAACCTCATCCAGGCAGTGACGCGACGGTTCTCCACGGAGTTCGAGCTGCGGCAGGTAAGCGGCCCTGGACCCTGGGGCGGCACCCAGAGGCCCATCCCCAGTCTAAAGGGGCATCTGCCATTCAGCGAGCGCCCCCTGAGCGTGCTCACAAGGGAGCTTGGGCTCCATGTTGCCAGGCCTTCCTCATTTCCAGGGGAGGCTGGGCATCCAGGCTTTTTAGAAGGTGACGAGTCAATCAGAAACATTCATCTTGGAATTTTTGTGTAGGCAAAAAGTAAAGAGAATCGTATAAATGAACCTCCACATACCCATTACCCAGATTGAATGATTGTCAACATTTTGCTGATTCTTTTTTTATATTATATTTATAATATATATATTATAAATATATATATAAACATATATAAATATAATATATTATATTTTATATAATATTCAAGCAGAGATCCCTTATATAATTTCACCTGTAAGTGGTTTAGTCATATCTAAAATAAAGGAATTTTTAACAGATAATCTCAATGTCATTAGCAAACACAAGGAAAGGAAAAATTTCTTGCTATCATATTCTACCCGGGGCCAATTTAAACCCTGTAGGTTTCTTTTAAAATTCTTTTTGCAGTGATATGTATGTTTGAATCAGAAGCCAAAGTTAACTCATTGTATTAGGTTGATTTGTCTTTTTTTTTTCACTGAGGTATATAATTCATGTACCATGACACTCACCATGTTAAGTGGTTTTCAGTATATTTATGAGGTCATATAACCATCACCACCATCTTTTTTTTTTTTTAAAGATTTTATTTATTTATTTGAGAGGGAGAATGAGAGAGAGAGAGAGAGCATGAGAGGGGGGAGGGTCAGAGGGAGAAGCAGACTCCCTGCCGAGCAGGGAGCCTGATGCGGGACTTGATCCCGGGACTCCAGGATCATGACCTGAACCGAAGGCAGCCGCTTAACCAACTGAGCCACCCAGGCGCCCCCATCACCACCATCTTGTTCCAGAACATTCTTGTTACCCCCCAAAAGAAACTGTGGTAGTCACCCTCCATTCCTCTGTCTCCAGCCCCTGGCAACCACTAATCTACTTTCTGTCTCTATGGACATGGCTATTCTGGATATTTCATAAAATGGAATCATATAATATGAGGCCTTTTGTGTCTGGCTTTCACTTAGCCTCAAGCTCTCAAGTTTCATCCGTGTTGTAACGTGTAGCATTCCTTTTTATGGCTGAATAATATTCCATTGTGTGGTTATACCACATCTGTTTATCCGCCGATCCGTTGATAGACATTGGGTTGTTTCCACCTTTTTTTTTTTTAAAGATTTTTATTTATTTATTTGAGAGAGAGAGAGAGAGAGAGAGCGCAGGAGAGAGTACGAGCGGGGCCAGGGAGGAGCAGAGGGAGAGGAAGAAGCAGACTCCCTGCTGATCAGGGAGCCTGATGTGGGGCTCGATCCCAGAACCCTGGGATCATGACCTGAGCCAAAGGCAGACACTTAACTGACTGAACCACCCAGGTGCCCCGACTTTTTGACTCTATGAATAATGCTGTCATGAATATTCATGTACACATTTTTGAGCGAACGTATGTGTTTGTTTCTCTTGAGGATACACCTAGAAGTGGAGTTGCTGGATTGTTTGGTAGCTCTATGTTTAACTTTTTGAGAAATTGGCAAAATGTTTTCCAGAGTAACTGCACCGAATTTACATTCCACCCGCAATGTAGGAGGGTTCCAATGTCTTTCTGTATTTGTGGACTCTTGTTATTTTCTTTCTTTCTTTCTTTTTTAATTATAGCCATTTTGTGGGTGTGAAGTAGTATGAATTGCATTTCTCTAATGACTAATGATGTTGAGCACCTTTTCACGTGCTTATTGACCATTCGTATATCGTCTTTGGAGAAATGTCTATTCAAATCCTTTGCCCATTTTTTAATTGGGTATTTGTCTCTTTATTGTTGAGTTGTAAGGGTTCTTTATATATTCTGGATACTAGACCCTTACTGGATACCTGATTTGCAAATGCTTTCTTCCATTCTGTGGATTGTCTTTTTACGTTCTCCATAGTGTCTTTTTTTTTTTTAAGATTTTATTTATTTATTCATTTGACAGAGAGAGACACAGTGAGAGGGAACACAAGCAGGGGGAGTGGGAGAGGGAGAAGCAGGCTTCCCGCCAAGCAGGGAGCCCGATGTGGGGCTCGATCCCAGGACCCCGGGAGCATGACCTGAGCCGAAGGCAGATGCTTAACGACTGAGCCACCCAGGCTCCCCTCTCGATAGTGTCTTTTGATGCACTGAAGTTTTTTTATTTTGATGAAGCCCAGCTTTCTAACTTTTCCTTTACTGCTTGTGCTTTAGTGTCACATCTAAGAAACAATTGCCTAATCCAAGGTCACAAAGATTTATACATGCTTTTTACTAAGAATCTTACCATTTTAGCTCTTACATTTAAGACTTTGATCAATTTTGGCTTAATTTTTGTATATAGTGTAAGGTAGGGGTCCAACTTCATTCTTTTTTTTTTTTTTTAAGTTTTTTTTTTTTTTTTTTTGACAGAGAGAGATAGCGAGAGCAGGAACACAAGCAGGGGGAGTGGGAGAGGGAGAAGCAGGCTTCCTGCCGAGCAGGGAGCCTGATGTGGGACTCGATCCCAGGACCCCGGGATCATGATCTGAGCCAAAGGCAGACGCTTAACGACTGAGCCACCCAGGCGCCTGGTCCAACTTCATTCTTTTGCATGTAGCTATCCAGTTGTCTCACCACCATTTGTTGAAAAGACTATTCTTTCCCCTACTGAATGGTCTTGGCACCCTTGTTGAAAATCAGTTGACTGTAAATGTGAGGGTTTATTTCTGGACTCTCAATTGTATATCATTGATCTATCTGTCCTTATGTCAGTACCACACTCTCTTGATTACTGTAGCTCTGCAGTGAGTTTAGGGATGTGAGCCCTCCAACTTTGTTCTTTTTTCAAGATTGTTTGGCTATTCAGAGTTCCTTGCATTTCTTTATGAATTTTAGGATCAGCTTGTCCATTTCTGTAAAAAATTAAAAAAAAAAAAGGCAGTTGGAATTCTGATAGGGATTGCATCGAGTCTGTAGATCAATTTGGGAAGGGTTGCCACGGGATAATATTAAATCTTCCAAACCATTAATACAGATTTGGGTCTATTTGGGTCTTTTTTTCTTTTATTTGGGTCTTCTTAATTACTTTCAACAATGCTTTATAGTTTTCAACATGCCAGTCTTGCATGTCTTTTGTCAAATTTATTCCTCAGTATTTTATTCTTTTTGATGCTATTGTAAATGGAACTGTTTTCTTGATTTCATTTTTGTATTTTTCATTGTTGTGTGTAGAAATGTACTACGATCTCTGTATATTGCTCTTGCATCTTGCAACCTTGCTGAATTCGTTAGTTTTAATGGGTTTTTTTTGTAGATTCCTTAGGATATTCTGTATCCAAAATCATGTCATCTGCTAATGGAGATAGTTTTACTTCTTCCTTTCTGGATGCCTTTTATTTCATTTTCTTGCCTAATTGCCCTGGCTACAACCTCTACAATATTATCTTTTAATCTGTGACATCTTTTTTCTTTTTTTAATGATGCCATTTATTTGTTGAAACAATGAGGTTATTTGTAGTATAGAAATAGCCACATTTTGAGTTTGGCTGATTGCTTCCTTGTGGTATCTTATTTAATTTGTCCCTCTCTCCTCCCTTGATTGGACTGAGATTACAGTTCAATTAAAAACTAAATGACGTAATGTACGGTGATTAACATAACATAATAACATAAACAGTGAAGATCAGGTATATCCAGGAGCCAGATTTAACCACGAGGTTGTTAGTTTTGACCTCTGCCCTAGATAAAGATTTTATCCCAGGGGGAGAGAAGGACGGGCCCTTCCTTTCCTGGAGAACAGGCTGTGGCTGTGTTCCCAAGGGCTCTAATATGGGTGGGAGGTCAGAGGACTGCACAGCCCTCTGCTTGAGGCTGAGTTAGAGACCCAGCCTGGGGCTGAGAATCTTCATTTTCCTGGCAGCTGGAGCAGTTCAAGATGAACAACATGGACACAGGCTTCGGCTCGGCTACTCGGGCTCTGGAGCAAGCCCTGGAGAAGACCAAAGTGAACATCAAGTGGGTGAAAGAAAACAAGCAAGTGGTGCTTAGTTGGTTCACAGAAAACAGCTAATAGTCCTTGGTCCTTAACCATCACCTGGCCCCCATGTGAGATGCCTCTACGTGTCTGCCCCCATGGCCCACGACAGTACCCCATTCCTGGAGCCTGAGGCAATGGTGTCCTCCCCTCAGGGACAAAGTCTCTGGCCCACGTTTTCTCCAGTCTGCCCATGGAGCTGATCCAGTTCCTGATGACCAGACTGTCCAAGCACCTTCCAGCCCCTGCCCCTCATGCCAACCCTCACCCCAGGCCTGGCATGGTGCCTGTCACCCAGGGCCCTGGGGCTGATCTCAGGGAAGCCCAGCTCTAGGGCCAGATGAGCAGAAGCCCTCAAAGGACGATGGATGGCCTTGGGGGGGTAGCCCTGTGCCCTCTCTCACCTTTCCATAAAGACCCTGAACCTAAAGAATCAACAGGGCAGAAGATCTATATTTTTTTTTCTAAGAGAAAATGTAAATAAAGGATTTCTAGATCAATGTCAAGACTCATTACTAAACTAGAGCAGGAGTGGGTTTGCATAGCAGCCAGGAACACTGGGAGGGAGGGAACCTGGGATGTAGGGGACTCCCAGGGAGCACAGGAGGGGAGAAGTGTCCAGAATGCCTGTGTGTCCTATGAGGTCTGCCTGCCGTGTTCCTTCCATCCATATTCCCGTGGCGGCTGGAGACCCTGGGTGCTGGGAACTATGAGGAGCTAGAGGCTAGGCAACCGGACCCAGCGGTTCTCATGGTGGGGTGGGGAGAGCTGGGGCTCAGGGCCAGGCCCAGGGCAGGTCCTGACGGTGGAGGGAGGGAGAAAGCAGAAGTTTCCGCTGGGGTCAGCACCTGCCCTAACATGAGGGAAGGAGCAGGCTGCCGACTGGGCTCCTCTTCTTGTGTCGCAGTCAGCACACCTGGGACAGTGAGAGAGGGGCTTGGAGTGAGGGCAGCAAGCCTTGGGACCCAAGCCTGGTCTGACCCCTCACTGGCCAAGGGCCTGTCCCATCTCCTCTCCAGGATCCATGGTGGAAGGTGGGATATCAATTTGTAAAGCAGTTGTTCTCAAGAGTCGCATGCAGAAAAAGGCAGGTGCCCTCCAGATCACCTGGTGGTCAGTGCCTATTCTGAGGAGAAGGTCTGGGACCCACATGGCTCCATGGCCCACATTAGCCTTGGTGGAAGTTTCTTAGCAAATGGAGCCAGGTTGTTGGAAGCTCACCTCAGCCTCAGCCCCCACGGGGCCCCGCTGAGTGCCCCAGGCTGGTGGAGGGAACATGGGAGGTGACAGACCACAGGGCTCCTTGGGGGTCTCCTCCAAGTGAGCCGCTGGGGCTGGAGTCCCGGAGACCAGGGGGCCTGGTGTCAGATCACAGCTTGGCCAATTTCTTGGGCAAGTGACCCAAACCCCTGGGCTTTGGCTTCTGCATCTGCATGAAAAAGGTGATGGGTCACAGGATTGGGGTGTGGATCTAAGGAGATTCACATATGGGGGTATCTGGTACACTGCCCCCCAACACAGGAGGAGATTTGGGTGTTGTTACCCTTAGCCCTGTCTCCTGGCCTCCCGGCTCTCCTCACAGCCTCTGTTCCCCTTTGGGAGAAGTGGGGGTGGGCCGGGCCCGGAAGGCTCCTCAGCCGGCCACTGCAGTCCCTACATCAAAGGTGGGGCGGGCCAAGGGGTGAGACCAGCCCAGGGGAGAGGGTGGGATCTCTCCACCAATCAGGAGGCTTCCCTCAGCCCAGCCCCTCTGGGCCAGTTCTTCCTGTCGCCAGTGCCCAGCAGCCCTGGCTGGCACTTAACCTGCTGGGGATTAGAGGGCAGGCCCCCTCAGGAGGTCCCGCTGGGGGAGGGGCCACCCCCACCAGGGTCCCTGGGAGAGAGCTGGCCTCCAGGGAGAAGAGTCTGCAGGGATCCTAGTCTCTGTGCCTGGCACTGGGCGAAGTGTTTATGCGCATTATCTCATTTGGGTCTCAACAGTCCCAGGAGATAAGGATTGCTTTTATCTCAGTTTTGCAGATAAGGAAACTGAGGCGCAGGGAGGTAAGTCAGTAGGGCTAGAACGAGATGCAGGCTCTAAAGCAGCAGAGTGGAAGGCCTCCTCCATCTGGAGCCAGGGCAAGATCTGTGGCATCCACACGTTGCATGCTCCCACCACCCAACGGCTCCCAAGCCTGGCATCCAGAATGCCCTGTGTGTCTGGAGGAAATCAGGTCCCCGGGAATACCGTGAGGGCACCCAGAGCCAGAGACCCGCCTGCAGAACCTCGCTCGAGGTCGCACACAGAGCAGGGGCCGACTCAAACTCAGGCTGCTCGTTCTGTGCCCAGCACTCTGCGGCGGGTTGACCCCTCAGGGCCAGCGGGAGAGGCAGGCCCTGGGGATGGAGGTCTCCCGCCTCCCCCCACCCAGGAGACTCCTCGGAAGCACGTCGCCTACAGTGCAGGGTCATGACAGAAATATCCAGTCTTTTATGGATGGTGAGGGGGGCAGGTCCCCAGGAAGGTGTGGGAAGACCAGTCTTTCCGGGCTGGGCACAGGCATCAGCCCCTCTCTCTCCCCTGCCAGGCCCGCAGCAGACAGGTGTGGTCAAGAGCAGAACACCCGGCTTGGGCTCATCTCCCACCCCCGTCCTCAGCCTCTGCAAGGGAAGCCTCAGGCCTGCCTCTCAGGAGCAGCAGCTAGGGACAGGAGGCCCTGGGGTAAGAACCCAAACCCTAGAAGGCTGGGCAAGAAGGCACTGGGTATTTTGGGATGAACTGTGTTCCCCCAACATCCATGGTGAAGTTCTAGCCCCCAGGACCTCAGAACGCCAATGTATTCGGAGATAGCGCTTATAAAGAGGCAATGAAGGTAAAAGAAGGTCATGTGGGGGGGCCCTAATCCAGGATGACTGGGGGCCTTACCAGGCGTGATAAAGCCAGGTGCACAGACCGCAGCGTAATTACATTGAGGGCACAGAGAGAAGGCGGCCATCTGCAAGCCAAGGAGGGACGCTGCAGAAACCAACCCTGCGGACACTGATCTTGGACGCTAGCCTCCTGAACTGTGAGAAAATTGTGTTTCTGTTCTCCCAGCCACCCGATGCGTGCTTACAGCAGCCCCAGAAACAAATACGCCGGGCCTCGGTTGTGGAAGCGAACCACCCGGCATCCTTTAAAAACGTTTTCCTAGACTGTGGAAGAGCCCTCCGGGTCGACGGGCATACGCTCAGAGGAAGGGACAAGGTAGCGGGGCTGGGCGGGAGGCGAGCGAACAGGCCCGAACGTTAACCCCCATCCGTGCTACCTCACGCAGCAAGGCCAAGTGGAGCCCCTGCAGGTGAAGACTTGTCACAGTGGCACGGGAGGGCACACACCAACCTCAGGAGGCCTGGACCCAGGGAGGGGAAGAGCAGAAGGATGGTTCCCTGCAGGATGGGAACATTCTTCCTTTGCCAGACGCAATAAAAACCCAGGTTGATAGAAGAAAAACAGACCAAACCAACATTTTTTTTTTTTTTTAAGAAGTATAAAAATGGAAGCGTACCAGCTTCTCTCCCCCCTCCGCCACCCCCAGAACGCACTCCACCAGCAGTCCCAGCCCCGCCGACTCTGGTCCCGCAGCCAGCACCTTGCGGCAGCTCAGCCGGTGTGTTCGGGGACAGGTCACTCGGGGGGGTGTCAGCCCGGACTCCAGCCACGGAGGCCACCCACTCCCTCTTTCGGACACTGCCTCTCGGGGAAAGACATCACTTGGAAAAGAGATCCTTGGCTTTAAAAAAAGCTTGAAGACCACAGCAAGTAGCAAATGAGGAGGACACTCCACGCCAGAGGCCTGATTCCTGGCTGACAAGGGGACAGGCGAGGCTATCGGTAGAAGACGCCCAGGTGGGCCCCCCCCAAATCTTCTTGCCAAAGTTCAGGGCAGCCACTGAGCTGCAGGCCTGAGCTCTGGGACGGGCTTTGGTCACCGAGCTGGAAGGCAGGGCCTGCCCCCACCAAATCTTCTTGCCAAAGTTCAGGGCAGCCACTGAGCTGCAGGCCTGAGCTCTGGGACGGGCTTTGGTCACCGGGCTGGAAGGCAGGGCCTGGTCCCTGGTCCTCTGAGCTGGGGAGCACCTCTGCACTGCGGCTCCGACATCCCCACTGGGTCTGAGGCTGGAGTCTCTGGCATGCTGGCCGGGACAGGAGGGGTGGGGTTTCTGGCAACACACAGGACTCTGGAGACACCGAGACACCCTGTAAGAGAGGCAAAAGCAGCCGGGTAGTGGGCCACTGCCTGATGCCCTGAGACCTGGAACCTGGATGCTCCCCGGAGTGTGGCTGGCAGCTTCCGGACAGCCCTGGGGGTCGTGGACGCAGTGAAGCAAAGTGGTGAAGAACACCGGCTCTGGAGATACACTCCGGGGGTTCGTATCCCACCTCTGCTACTAACTAGCTCTAAGAACGCAACCTCTTTCATTCGGTTTTCTCATCTGTAAAACGGGGGTGATAATAACAGTCCCTACGCCACAGAGTTGCTGGAGCGCCGGCTGAGTCAATACGTGTCCGGTGCTAAGAACGGTGTTGGGCAAACAGCAAGCGAGCAGTAAATTTTGGTTATCAATACGCTCTGTTATGGACCACGATTCATTCACTCATGGGCCTCATGAACAAATGAAGCTTAAAGGAAACACGAAGGTCACCAGCTCCAAGCCCCTATACTCTGGAAGTCCCCACCCCTGGGGCTGGCCAGCCTCCCTCCCCCCAAGCCTTAATGGAGCACTTAGAACCAGTGGCTCTTGCTACCTTTCATCTTGCCTCTGGAGCAAGTCCGAGGATTCTCCGTCTTTAACGCGGCTGCGAAGACTTCTAGGTAGAGGTGGTGGCGGCCTTAACGGCCCGGGGCCCCAGCTCTTTCCCCAAGGAGGCTAGGGTCCTCTCCATACTCCCTTCAGCTTCTCTCTAACCCTAACTGGGTTGGATTAGATAAACCCGGATCCCCAAAGCATGGGAGTCTCTGCAGACTAGAGCCCACCCACTGCCTCCATTTCCGAACGAACCTGGGACCAGCCCGAGAGGAGTGGCACGGGCCTGCCCGCATACCTGATACACTGCTGCAGCCAGCTCCGGGGCCGCGGGGGGCGGCGTCCAGGGCACGGCCTGCTTCCTAGGTTCCGGGGACGTCTGCCTTCTGGAACAGACCTGGGGCGGTGTCCAAAGGGCCGTCTCGGGGGCTCTCCCTTGGGAGAGCTGCGGGGGCCACTGTATCCCAGGGCAGTAAGGGGGTGTAACCCAGGGATCCAGTTCGGGCACCCTGCTCCCCAGGCGCTCGGGCGCCGCTAGTGCTCCGGGACAGGCCGGCGGGGACCCCCACGACGCGGCGGCGCCCGCGGCGGAGCCCAGGCCCGGGGCGCGCGCCTGCACCTGCACCTGCGCCTGAGTCTGCGTCTGCGCCTGCGCGGGGCCGCCGTCGGGGCAGAGCGGGCAGCCCCGAGGCGCCGCCGCCGCCGCGCCGCTGCGCCGCCGCCGCCGCCGCTGCAGGCTCTCCTCGCTGAGGCCCAGCACGGCCGACAGGTGGCCGATGTAGCGGATGGCCAGGCGCAGCGTCTCGATCTTGGTGAGGCTCTGGCCGGCGGGCGCCACGGACGGCGGCAGAAAGCGGCGCAGCTCGTGCAGGGCGCGGGCGAGCGTGCGCATGCGCAGCTTCTCGCGCTCGCTCGCGCTCTGCCGCTGCCCGCCGGCCGGCCCGCTGCGGCCTCGTCCGGGCGCCGTCGGGGCGGCCTCTGCGGAGCGGGCGCCGCGGGCCGGGAGCGCGGGCTGCGAGGGGCCGCGGGCGCCGTCGCAGGGGCACGAGCCCGAAGAGTCCGAGGAGGAGGCCGGGGACGTGGAGTCCGGGTGGCCGGCCCAGCCCCAGCCCTGGGGCAAGATCCAGTGGTCGTGGCCCAGGAGGCCGTGCAGAGGAGGGGACTGGGCCATGGCCGGGGCGGCTGCGGGCTCTGGGAGCCTGGGCCGGCCACCTCCAGGCCTGAGCTTTTATCCGGACCAAAGGTGAGAGGTGGCCCCCTGCCAGGTTACAGAGAGGTGTCAAAACCCACAGAGCCCAGGGAAGGCCTGGGCAGGGGGGCCTTGGGAAAGCGGGCCCATTTGCGGAGGTGTGGATTCTGACTCCTCGGGGGCTCTAATGGAGGCCCCTGCAGCCCGGGAAGTGTGGGAGGGACAATTCGCATCTGGATGGAGCTGCTAAGCTTCTCACCGAGTTCCCACCCACCCGGGCTCGTGGCATGGTGAGTGCCCAGGAGCCCGACGGTGGTGGGCAGTGCCATCATCGTCTGGGGACGGCCAGGCTGTCCCTCATGTGAGGAGTGGACCCATGCAAAGAGTGGCTGCCTCTCTCATCTCCAGCCCCCCCCCCCCGGGGGCGAAGGCGGGGAGTGGGGGAGTTTGTCCAGTAACTGCCACTCACTCTACAGGTGTGCTGGATAAGGCTGCAAGACAAGCCCCGAGGGATTTGCCCACAGTGAGGTGGGGTGGAAGTAGGGGGACATACAAGTGCAGCCTTCCTGGTTTGCTCCCAGAACCCACATTTGCTGGTTTGCTGAATAACACGAGCAACGTCATCTCACTACCCACAGATAGTTTCCGTCCCTGAAAAATAGAGCAGCCTGGAGAAAAAGGATAGGAAGCAGTGGGTGATGAAAATGGGGGAAGGTGAGCCCTCCAGGCAGGCCTGAGTCTGTTTGCTGTGTGACCTGGGGCAAGTTACTTACCTCCTCTGAGACTCAAGTTTCTTTCAGTTTCACAGCAATAATACTACAAAATGCCCACCACCTGGGAAGGCTGCTGATACTAAGTGGAACCATCTGTGGAACCATTCAGTGTGGGCCTGGCAGGTGAGCTAAATGTTCGCTGCTCTCATTTCATAAGGAAGGTACTTCCATTTCAAGATGCTGTAGGCATTACTCATTTACTTCATACTTATTTAGCAACTGGTAAAGGTCGGGCACACCAGCGTAACACAAGTTAGTTGTGGTCTCGGCTCTCATGACATTTGAAGTTCGTGCTGAGAGACAACAAGTGAACAGACCATTATACATTGAACAGCTCCATCACTAACTGGCTGTGTGCCCTTGGGCAGGGCCCTTAACCTGTCAGAGCTTGAGCTTGTGCTCTGTAAAAAAAAAAAAAAATTATTTTTATTTTATTTTATTTAGTTTTATTTATTTGACACAGAGAGAGACAGAGAGCACAAGCAAGGGGAGCAGCAGAGGGGGAGAAGCAGGCTCTCCGCTGAGCAGGGAGCCGATGTGGGGCTCGATCCCAGGACCCCGAGATCATGACCTGAGCCGAAGGCAGACACTTAATAATGATTATAGTTATCGACTCGTAGGACTGTTGTTATAGTCTCATAAACTTGGAGATAGTAAAGCTCTCCTCAGCAGTTTATTACAGCTTAAAGGAGGCATCTGGGGGGCCTGGGTGGCTCAGTCTGTTAAGCATCTGCCTTCGGCTCCGGTCATGGTCCCAGGGTCCTGGGATCGAGCCCCGCATCGGGCTCCCTGCTCGGTGGGAAGCCTGCTTCTCCCTCTCCCACTCCCCCTGCTTGTGTTCCCTCTCTCGCTGTGTCTCTCATTCTTTCTGTCAAATAAATAAATAAAAAATCTTAAAAAAAAAAAGGCATCTGTGTCCTTTGTGATCTTCGGAGAAAGGGCTGAACTCCGAGACTAAGGGCCAAATGATTGCCAGGGGCTGTAGAGTTCTGGCCACAGAGCTGGCGAGGTCACCGCTGGGCCTTGAACCATGAGTAGGACTTGGTTAAGGAGAGAGGCGGGTAGGGAGAATTCTGGCCATGGGAACTGCTTAAGGAAAGGCCTGGCAGTGGGACTTGCTGAGGGGCTTCTGGAACAGTGTGAAGGGGTGCTGATGTGGAGAGCTGGCGCACAGCTTGGCTGGGGCCAGGCTAAGAAGCTGGATTGCCAGATGGACCTTGGAGCAGAAGTGTGACATGAAGAAAAAAAAAAAAAAGCAGGCAATCAGTAATGAAAGTTCAACATGATGATGCTTCTGGTTTCTGGGATAGATGGGCCTCTATCAGCTTGAAGTAATAAATAATGGCCCTTGCAGTATTTGTGGCCACTCCTAAAAACAAACATTTAGTTACACAAGTTACATAACGAATACATTCTCTTTGGCAGCAGTGGGAACATTACGGGTAAACCTGAGGTCTCTCAGCAAAGAGAGCAGCTCTCAGGTTGCTATGTGGCCCTCCACACCAGGCCCGCACGTTCACCTGGACGTATGTAAATGAGGGAACATTGTGGCCTGTGTTTGTAAGTTGTTCTCTTTTTTTGTTTTTAAGGTTTTATTTATTTGGGACAGCATGAAAGCACACGAGTGGGGGGGGGTGGGCAAAGGCAGAGGGAGAAGTAGACTCCCCACTGAGCAGGGAGCCTGATGGAAGTGTGGGGGGGAGGGAGAGGGAGAACCCCAAGCAGGCTCCATGTCCAACACCAAGCATGACGAGGGGCTCAGTCTCATGACCCTGAGATCATGACCTGAGCCGAAAACAAGAGTCAGACGCTTAACCGACTGCACCACCCGGGTGCCCTGTCACTTGCTTTGTTTGATTCAACAGCAGGTCTTAGAGCACTCCCATCAGGAGATGTTGAACTGATCGTAGAGGGTCATAGGTGACTTAAATGGATGAACATTTAAACATTATACGAACATTAGAGCAGATCATTTTAACTGGAAAAAAAAATGGCAGGAGGTGCAGACAAACCTTCAATGAGGAGATGACCTCACTTTCTGCTCAGGGCTTATTTTTTATTTTTATTTATTTTTATTTTATTTTATTTAGTTTTATTTATTTGACACAGAGAGAGACAGAGAGCACAAGCAAGGGGAGCAGCAGAGGGGGAGAAGCAGGCTCTCCGCTGAGCAGGGAGCTGATGTGGGGCTCGATCCCAGGACCCCGAGATCATGACCTGAGCCGAAGGCAGACACTTAACGACTGAGCCACCCAGGCACCCCTTAGGACTCATTTTTTAAAATATCAGAGAAAATATGCCCAAGTCACCACTGTAGCATGATGATGAAGGAATAATCGGCGTTGAACGATGTTGGTCAGGGCAACCCCTGTTTAGTTTATTCTAGCTGCCATGAGTGAGGAGAGGAAATTTCTAATTTGTCCAGAGCACAGAAAGAAGGTAACTCACTTAGCAGTGGCCTTGACTCCAAATAGGCTTTCTCTGGAAAGAAGCAGGAAGTTATGCGAGTATTTCATGACTTGAAAGGATTTACACCAAGTTAAAAAAATTTTTTTTCCCCTAAGGATGGTGGGACTTAAAAAACAGTGGATCCTACACTTTTTAGGTTGAACTCATGGCTGTACTGGCTAGGAATTAATTTACATGTAATTGACATTTGTCAACAAAATCCCTCAGGTTTCTTGTATGTTTCTTGATCAGGATTCTGAAGTTTCAGGTTAATAATGTGCTGTTGATCCTGAATTTTCTTTTCTTTTTTTTTTTAAGATTTTACTTATTTATCAGAGAGTGTGAGAGCACAAGCAGGGGAACGGCAGGCAGAGGGAGAAGCAGACTCCCCGCTGAGCAAGGAGTCCTCCGATGCCGGACTCGATCCCAGGACTCTGGGATCATGACCTGAGCCAAAGGCAGACGCTTAACCCATTGAGCCACCCAGGCGTCCCGATACTGAGTTTTCTGACCCACCCCTTTTCACTGTTTTAACTGTTCTGTGATATTATAGCACGTGTACCCCAGTCAGGCCCTTACTGATGCATCGTTAGTGTGTGTTTAGTTTTTGCCAAATAGCCCTGCCTTGTGCACAGGCAGGTAGACCTGGAGAGGTGGGATGGCCTTGTGATCTCCAGGAAGGGTCCGAAAATCCAGAATTAGAGCCGGCCTGGAGGGGTTTCCTGTGAAAGGATTTGGTGAATAATGGGAGTCCACCGCCAGCACGAGCCCTGCTTACCCTCCTTTCCTCTCTAGGATAGCCTGGCCTGCTGTCTTGGTTTGGGCTAGCCCCAGAGCCCAGGCCTCAGACTGACTGGGATGACAGAGCATAAGTTCGGGGAGGTGAGGCCCTGGCTCTTCACCAGGCCCCTCAGCCAGGCTCTGGAAGCACAGGGACACACTGTCTCCCAGCCCCATTCGCGGGGGGAGCCGAAGCGGACCCCCCACTGGGCCTCCACTTAGCACAGGGAGGTAATGTCACTTGATGGTGCAGAGGCTGGGCTATGGAATCAGACTGACCTGGGTTTAGATCCCAGCTCCACCCCTTCGAAGCCGTGAGAACTTGGGCAACTTAACTCCGCATCTGTTTTCTCATCTGTAAAGTGAAGCGTTCTGATTTCCAGGGTGATTGTTGGGGTAAGTAAGGATAATGCGTTTCATAGTGATTAGCACAGAGCCTACATTTATGAGTCTTGCTTATAGTACGTTCAGGGGCAGCAGAATGAAGTAGGTAAAGGACTAGGTTGGGGCCTGGGTAAGGGGGCTGGTCTCTTTTAGTCTTGGCCGTAGAAGAAGGTGATTCCTTCCATTCCTGAGACTCCAGCACCAGACCTAGTGCATCCTGCCCAAGCCCCCTCCTCCACCCGCAGCCCTTTTCCTCTGTGGACCCAGCACGGGCACTCCAGCCCCTGGCCTGTGGCAGGGGTCACCACAGCTACAGCGCAGAGGGGACAGGAGAGCTCAGAAGCCTGGAGCCGGAACCAAGCCCACCAGCCCAGCCAAGGCTAGGAAATGGAAGATCTCAACCTGCTTCTCCTGGTGGGCTGGGTCCTGGCCCAGGTGCTGGTCCAGCTTGCCTCTGGGACCCTCAAGCATTCCTTCCGCTATGTGGGAACCTGCCCCAGGTGCTCGGTGAACAAGCCGGGTCTGGGCCCTGCCCCACGGGGGGCTCTCCTCTCTTCCTCATCCAACTGTCCTGTTAAAAGGAGGGACAGCTACAGCTATATGCTCTTGGACAAGGTGATTAGCTTCTGGGCCTCAGCAGGCTCCTGGCACGGGGCTCACCCCCTCCTTTCTGTGATGGGAGGAGGTGGTGGTTAGGTCAGGGAAACATGGTCCGTAGAATGTTCACGAGTCTGGCAGACCCTTCTAGTTGCACACACAGCATCAGTTACAGCCTCTATTCTTACATCTTTCTTAATAATAGGGCTGTATTATTGTGGGTGGCAATATGCCCAACTGGAAAACACGTCCCAGCCTCTCTTGCTCATGGAATGGCTAATGAGATGTTAGCAGAAATATTGGATGGGGCTTCTAGGAAAGCTCTTTAAAGCAGAGAGGTACACTCCCATGTTTTCTACCCCCTTATATTTTCTTCCTGGGAAATGTGATGGCTGGAGCTTCAGCAACCATTTGGTGGCACTGAAGCAGTCCCAAGGACAGAAGTCATCCGCTGAGGATGATGGAGCAGACAGAAGCCTGAGGCATTGATGACAACATGGAAGCACCATACCAGCTCAGGACTGTCTATCCCTGAATTTCTTTAATGTGAGAGAAAACAAATTACCAGTTTGCATAAGTCATGGACATTTGGGTGCGTATGAGCAGCCACACGTAATTCCTGTCCACGTAATAAAGAAGTGCCAGGGTATCCTTGTCAACAAATAGGGCCATGTGAGCTGGATGACAGTTGAGTGAGTTCATAACAGATTTGATGTTCCCATGGAGGAGCGGGTGGGTGTTCACCTGGAGGAAGGTCTACGGTGATGGTACTACCAGCTCTATTCCCAGCCTCGTCAAGGGCAGAGTTATGATCTCGAATGGAGATATGAATTGATCTAATTTGGGGTAGGGTCCAAACGCAGCAAGTGAATTGGGTAACAGCCAGGATCCCGGAGAGGCTGACAGGCTCGGACAGCCTACCAGATCGAATAAGGTGGGATCAACAGGGCTCCATGTAACCTCCCTCTTAGTTCGGGGTCAGGTGGCATGTAACCAGCAGCACGCGTGAAAAACAAAGGTGATCCCATTCGCGAGAAACAGGGTCTTCAACCAAGGACGTGACTGTCTCTTGTTCCCTCTGCAGGACGGGCCTTTGCCAGAGTAAGTGGCCAGATGTGGGGGCCGCCATTCATGATGAAACAGGCCGTAGCCAAGGACAGCAGGGTTAGTGATAGCTTCAAGCCAGGTCACCAGAGAAATAGTCGAAGGACTCAGGGATGTTTTGTTCACAAAACAAGAACCTTGGGGTAGGATGGTTGCCTCCAGGTGCCTAGGAGGGAGTACTCCAGGGAGACCGAAGAACTTCCTAAGATCGGAAGGGGCGTCTTATGAGGGAGTGAGTGGCCTGTTTGTGGAGGTGATCAAGAAGAGGCCAGACGAGTACACACTAGGCACAGGCAGGAGCTGGAGTGGATGGCTGTGCCCGACTCCACCGACGCTGACAGGCCCCCGAAAACGAGGGCGTTGGACGTGACGACCCCTGAGGTACAATCAGAGCTGAGGCCAAGAATCAGGGAGAGGATGGGGCGGCCTCCTCAGGGCCCTGGGCTCTGTGAGGGCGAGGAGCCACGGGGTCTTGGGCTGTCTTGGGCCGGGCTGGGGCTGCACCCTGAGGCCTCCCAGGTGCCTCAGACCCCTGACACTCCCACCCCTGCTCTCTGTGCCCGGAGCCCTGGCTCAGCTGGGCCTCCTCATGTGTAGGCAGGAACCATCATGTCACAGCGCCCTTGGCTCGGCTTGCCAGGGTGGCCCCAGTCAGGTGTCAGTGATCCTTTCCTACAGGTGAGGAGACTCATCCTCCCCCATCGACTTCCCCGGACTTTGCCCGAGGCCGGCAGTCAGATGAGAAGGGCAGAGAGGCCCAGGTTGGACCCTGACCGTGCTCAGTCAGCTCTGGCCCTGCGAGGCGCTGCGGGAGGCCAGTGACGGTGGCCCAGCCTGCTCCTAGTGACTTAACACAGGCCCCGCTCCTGGACGACCTCCACCTGCTATTTCTTCCTGGGCAGGCAGTGCAGGGCCCCCCGGAGCAGACCCAGGGACCTGGAGCCAGGTAAAGGCCTGGCCTCTGCCCTCTAGGTCTTCTCTGCCTCCCCCCACCCCCCGGCTCCCTGCCAGGCCGTGGGGGTGGCCCGGCTGTGGGAACGTGGGGGAAGGAGAGGCAGGGCACACAGGGGCTGCGGCGGCGTGTGGTATTCTCATTACCAGGGAGCAGTAAGGGCCAGGCCAGCACCCCCCTTGGCCACTGTGGCTGCCTTCACACCTCCTCTCTGCCTGTTGACACAAGGCCACCTCCCCCAGGGCAGAAGGTGTCGACTTGGGAACGAGGGTGTTCGGGGGCCTCCAAAACAGTCCGGCATCAGGTCCTCTCAGAAACCCCAGAAAGCCCTTCTGGGGTGGGGGTGGGAGGCTGCAGGTCCCCACCCTGGGAGGCCCAGGGAGAAGGTAGGGCCTGTGTCCCCGGGATGGGGAGCGGGGGAGAGGGGGGAATGGGGGAGGACCGGAGCCCTGAGTCCACCTGCCCAGTTAGTCCCCTCTCCTGGCTCTGGGATCTGGTGCTTGACGAGGCCCTGCCTGGCTGAATGCCATCGGTGTCACCAGGAGGCCCAGAGACCGAAGCCACCAAGGCAAGGTCACCCTGACAGGGCCTCATGACTGCCCGGTCTTCTGAGCACTTCTAGACTCTGCAGTGCCCACCACTGTGCCCGCAGTAACCGCGTCAGTGCTCAGACCCCATGACTTCCAGCCCGTGGTTCTCCCCGCGCTTAGATGGGCCAGGCCCAGAGAAGTCGGTTCCTTGGCCTTCATTCCCCAGAGTCAGGATTCAGATCCACAGAGGCCAGGCACCACACCACGGGGAAACTGCCCCGGCCGAGGGGAGGCTCCGGGGAGGGACGAGGGACGAGTCCTCTGGGACTTCAGAAATTGGAGGAGGGGAAAGAGAGCTTCTGAGTCTGCGGTGACCTGGTGTGCGGGGAGCCAAGGGCCACAGAGGGGCATGACCCGGCCACATGATCAGGGCAGGTCCCGGGCGGAAGGGGGGGACCGAAAGTTGTGGGTATCCTCCAAGTGGAGGTGCGGCCGACCTGGCAGAGGGACGAGGTGGGAGCCCAGGTCCGGGAGCAGGCAGCCCAGCACCAGTCTGGGGAGTGCCGGTGGGCTGGGGTCTGCCTGGAGGGGTGGGAGAGGCTGTGGGCTAGCAAGCGGGAGGAGGCAGGGGTTGGAAAGGCTACTGGGTGGGGAGTTTGGACTCTCAGGGAGGGAGGCAGTGAGAGCCACAGACATTCTGAGGAAGGAGGGGGCCGGAAGGTGAGGGGCTGGAGGCGGGAAGCGTGAGGAGACCACAGTCGCATGTGTGAGGGCTGGCAGGGGCTGGGCATGGGCCAAGGAGCCGAGGCCAAGAATGTGGACAAGGGCAGGAGGGACGTGGCCCCTGTGGGCTGGGAGAGGCACGGGAGGGCCTGGGGCCATAGGCATCCACGGAGCTGCCCAGCCAGCCAGGGCCATGCAGGTGGACCTGCTGCTCTTCCTCCAACAAGAAGGCTGGACCAAGGAGGCTGGCGTGCGAGGGCCTGCGGAGGCCCCAGGACTGCCTGGTCCAGATTCCGGGGCAATAAGGCCCAGTGGAGGGGGCTCAGACCTAGGGCCAACCATGCCTGGGCTCCATCCCTTGAGCCTCAGTCTCCTCATCTATGAAATGGGTGTCCTTGCTGGGAGGATTAGCTGGAGCATCATGTGTTCGGCATGTGGGAGTTCAGAAGTCTTGCCTGCCTGCCTGCCCTGCTGGAGAGAGGGGACCCGCTGTGCTTCTGCAGCTCTT